AGATGCAAGGTAAGGCCAAAGCCCCATCCCATCCTGTGACCAAGTCGAGCATGCCAAGCTATCCAGCAAAGACATGTGTCCCTGTTGCATGGAGCATCTGTCCTTGGGGGTTGTGGCAGTTGAGTGGGATGACGGCACTGGCTTTAGGTCTGGTTGAGTTGAGGCTTTGGGTGTACTCCAGTGACACTATGACTCTCATCCCTGCCCATTTTCACCCCCCAAATTCTTTCACTTTCTTTGGTGGTAGTTTTATCATGGTTATCCACAGACACTAAATACTGCCGCTATCCTGCCGAGGTGTATGATAACTGAAATTCACAGCTGCTGGTGGCACAATGGCAGGTAAGAGTTTGTAGCATGACAATTTCAGTGGCTTTGCTTTCCTGTGTTGATCCCCACCCTGGATTTTCACTGCAGGTGCATCAGTCCAGAGACCACTTGCTGCTCAGAGATGTGGGATTTCTTATGATACAGCCTGAAATTAGGGCCCAGTATGTGTTCATCGGTTATATATGAAGTAAAAATACATAAAATGTAATGGCAATTTAGCAGCAAACTGGAATTACTTATATTTAGTGGTGAGAGAAAATTTTCTCTTCAGTTACTGCATGTCTGCAGCCCTAGATACACATTTCTCAGCAAATTGTGTGGTGTGTGTTAGTCAGAGGACAACTGTTTTTTTATTAATGTCTGTGTTAGAAACTATTTGTTTAGGGTCTTGATTTTGTTTACTTATGATTTACAAACAACACCACTAATTTCCATTCCTTTCTGCAGGAGGATACCTTCTTTTAATGCTAAAGAGAACTAACAAATCCATAATAATTAAGGAGTGTGACCAGCAGGTCGAAGGAGGTGATCCTGCCCCTCTACTCTGCTCTTATGAGACCTCACCTGGAGTATTGTGTGCAGTTCTGATGTCCTCAACCTAAAAAAGGACATGGAACTGTTGGAAGAAGCCCAGAGGAGTCCCAGAAGGATGATCAGGGGACTGGAGCACCTCCCGTATGAAGACAGGCTGAGAAAGTTGGGGCTGTTCAGGCTGGAGAAGAGAAGGCTGCGTGGAGACCTCATAGCAGCCTTCCAGTATCTGAAGGGGGCCTATAGGGCTTCATTAGCTATTGTAGTGACAGGACAAGGGGTAACAGGTTAAAACTTAAACAGGGGAAGTTCAGATAGGATATAGGGAAGAAATTCTTTCCTGTTATGGTGGTGAGGCACTGGAATGGGTTGCCCAGGGAAGCTGTGAATGCTCCATCCCTGGCAGTGTTCAAGGCCGGGTTGGGCAGAGCCTTGGGTGACATGGTTTAGTATGAGGTGTCCCTGCCCATGCCAAGGGGGGGTAGAACTTGATGATCTTAAGGTCCTTTCCAACCCTAACTATTCTATGATTCTATAAAGTCAGTGTTAATTAATGCTGCTTCTTGGCAGCATACTGATTTCTGGGCTGTAGACCAAAAATCAGCAGTGGTTTTGTTTTTATCATAATTTAGGAGACTCATTGTTAGTTTTCATAAAGGAGAACAAATACGCCGCTGAACATCTGAAATGTGTTTTTTCAAAAGTAGATTGATTAGTGCATGCAGGATTTGCTGTGATGAGCAGGGTTGAACTACACCACAATCAACAAGTTAGGATCTTGCTTTTTTTGTGTTTCCTCAATGTAAAATGAAAACGTGCAGTGATTTTTAGTACCGCAGTCTTGCTGCCAGCAGCTATTTGTCTGTCAGCCTAATACTCCCACTGGCTGTTGGTCTGAATTCTGTAGCTGCTCTGTCATAGTCCTTTAACAATTCATCCATTCCAGCAAGGCTTATTTTTTTCAAACTCACAAGAGTCAGTGTTCATACTTGCATTTGTCCTCAAGAAAACAAACAGATTTTAATCCAGAGAGAGAAAGGTACAGAATCTGTATCAAATAAGTGGGGAAAGTGCCCGTTTTCTGACAGTGAATGTTTCTGCTCAAGTATTTGCACTGGATTATAGCAAAGCTTTGGTTAAGCAGATTAAATAGACAAAGCAGTGAAACATCAAAGGCTGCCCAAATGTGCTGAGGTTTTATTTCCCTGATCTGTAATGCCTGCTTTTGCCTTCCTCTCATTAGCACAGAAAAATAAGCCAGTAGAACACAATGTATTGTGCAACTGTAGTGCCTATAGTGACTGATTTCTAACAGGGTTTTTAGGTATTGCAGAGATCATTTTAGATACCAAGATGCAAAAGCTTCTCCCCAAGCACAGATAGTAAGCCTGTGACTTCAGCCAGGGGTTAATTTACTGGTTTTACTTGAAGCACCCAAAATAGCAAAGGGAAGTGTCCTTTGGTGAGCTGTGAGGAATAATGTAAAGCAGTTAAATGTGCAGCATCTGTTACCATTTATATTTCAAAAGTGTTTCCTGCACTGTGGGATTGATTTGGGCATTGGTGTCACTTGGTCAAGGACTTACCAGAGGCCATGCAGAAGTCTAAAGTTTTATCTGGGGGAAAATAGTGAGTATGTTTCAAATACAGAAAATAGTAATAAACCTAAATCAATTAAAAATTAGTTAAAAACAAAAATCCAGAAATTAAGAAGCAGGTGATGTAACCTCTGGAACAGGTTCCTGTTAAGCTCATTTTATATTAAAAGTCATTAGCTGGTATGATGTGTTTAAGCACAAGTAAGGGCATTGGACACAGTTGTCAAGCAGCAGTGAATTTGGTCACTGGGTGGTTTTGGGTTAGTTTTGAAAAACCAGTGTAATTCCAATCAAATAGACTATTTTTTTCTCTCTGAATATTTTGAACAGCCTGAATAAATTAGCAAATCTGGTTCTGAATAGGTAAATGGCATCTCTTGGATATAAGCACCCACCTCTACATACCACAGTGCTTCATGGATCTCCCTATCTTGAGTGTTTTCTTCTGTACGTTTCTAGAGCTGCACCTCAGTAACTATACTGATGTTATGCTAAAGCATCTTCTGTGTTCTGTTTCTAACAATAATATTGCTAAAACTTGTCATTTCATAAAAGCCTTGCCAGAAAGCATATAGAAAAAATCTAAATATTTTCAGGGATAAAGGCTCTTTAGGTTCATTTGAAGAAGGAATGTATGGAGTCAAGACAGGAAAGCTAAGTCACAAGGCCTTTAGATACTGCATTTAATATTCCCTTCCTTCAAACTTTGCTGCATGATCAAGGTCTTTATGCTAAATGCCTGAAATTCATGCCTTGTCATTCAGGCAGCAAGTAGCAGTGTAAGCTTTGTGAAGCTTTGTCTGATGAGCTCTGAACATTTCCTCACTCTGTGGTGCTATGGGCTCAAAACGGCTCCTTTCACAATGAAATGAGGTGATTCTGCCCTGAGGGAGTCAGTAAATACACTAGAGTGCCAGCAGAAGTGCAGGATCTCCCAGAGCACTGGGACTATCAAGGCATTCTCTCTCAGAGGCACCTGGAAGGTTTTCATATCTGGACAGATCAGGGACAGCTTTTTCATGCAGTAGAAGCCTAGGTTTGAAATATATTTGTAGTTATTTGCAATGAGGGAACTTCAGGTAGTCTCCTATTATTTCAGACATAATGGAGAAAACTAAGAAGCCAGACAGGAGCTAACAAGTCAACAAACAAAGGAACTTCAGAGACAGCTCTTGCTTTACACAAGAGAGAAGGATGAACTACCACACCCTCTGTTTGGCATGCTGCAGACTGTGCAGCACTGGGGGCTAGTCCAGTCTCGAAGCTATTACCACATAGCCTTGACAGAGCACTCATCCAGATCTGCAGCTGACCTTCTTAAGCCAGGAAATCAGCAAGGTTTTTAGTTCTTTCTCTAGGAAAGGCCCCTCCCTGTCACTGAAGGCTCCCTGAAAGTTCTCGTGTCATTTTTAGCTTTTCTCTTTGCAAAAAATTTATTTCACTTCCACAGAGGAAACTAAAGCAAAACATGTATTTGCTTACTACTTGAAAAAATGAGTTAAGACACAATTCCAATGCAAACTCAGAAGCAGCAGCTTTTCTCAGCAAGGCCAAGTTACCAGTGTCATCAAAATTGTGAGTGGTTTTTAACATTTTTCATGAATTCCTTTAACTTTTCTATATTCACCACTAAATGTTGGTTTATTATTGCAGTCATGATGGTGTTTTGCCTTGTTGATGGCTGCAGGGACAGAGAAGGCCTGGGGCCTGCAAGTAAGAAGCTATGGGAAACTGGCCTGCAGCCGTTTCTGAACTCCCTTTCTTCAGTGTTCCCAAGCTCAGCTGGACTGCACTTCTGCAACAGGCTTCCTAACTGCATTGCACAGATCTGTGATTTTGTTCTAGCTTGCCTATGCATCGTTGTTTTCAAACGGCTGTGAGCTTGCTCTAGTTTCTGGTTTGTAATCCCAGAATAATAGGCCAACACAATTTTATGTTGTCTTCAAGGTTGGTTTCCTCCTGTTTCACAGATACACCATGCCTAAAATGTCTGCACTTTTTTTGTCAAATGTTCTTTAAACTTAAGAAGTGCTTCATCCTGAAACATCTCTCATTAAGAGTAGGATGCCTTTGGAATGACTGGAACTTGATTCACGACCAGAAGTTATTTTGAGATGACTTTTGATCAAACAGGGAAATTTTCTGGGAAGTGATTTCTGTGTACACAGAACAATACTAAAGTATTATTTAGAGTAAATACTGTTCATCTATTTATGTCACAATTCATGCTGGTTTCCTGTACTACTTTGAGTTCATTTACTGTATACTAAAATAGGAAGAAGCAGCTGTATTTTGGGTAAACATTGTAATTTCAGGAGAGTATCTTTGCATTTTTACACACGTTTGAGATTTGAATTTTATCCAAGACATGGAAAATTCATGTTACCTACTTTCTGCATGAGTAAACATATCTCCTGTTTAAATGTGATTTAATGAATTTGGTGCTTGTTTAAAAACTGTAGCTGAAAATAGAAGGCAGATGTTACTGTACCTACCACACAGAAATATTTCAGTATGTTCTTTTTTTTTCTACCATTTAAGGGTCAGAAGGCTTGGATAGAGAAGACCTTTTCTAAAAGAGAATGCATCTACGTAATTGCCAACAACAAAGACACTAGCAGGTAACATTTGAATTTTTTGTTTTGGCCAACAGAAAAAGTTAATACTGAAGAAACTGGACTTGATTTGATATTAGACATGAGAAACTGAGACCCAGCTTACTCACTGCCCTTAAAGGGAGGTGGCGGGGCAACAAAAGTGCAAGATGTGCTTGCACTCAAATCTGTGCAGAGCCATGGGACGTGTCATACAGATGATAAGGCTGGGCAGCAGGAGCAGCAGTGAGTTGTTAGTTCCTGGCTTTGCGAACCAGAACATAAACTCATATTGAATTCTGAAATCAAGGGTGCAATAATGTGCCCTGTGAAGTAAGTGGTACCGTTCTTCACAGTTGCTAAGAAACTGCCACTAACAATACTATACAAGGGGGACTGCAATTCTTAGTCCAAATACTAGTATTATTGCTGCTGCATTGACTAGCTAAATTGTGGTCCAGCTTGTTTGGGTGATATTAACTGTTTACATCACATGCTAGCTGTCACCTCGGAGTAAGAAACAGATGGTCGCCACTCTTGTTCTGTATTTTTGCTTCTTCCCTGTCCGTCAGCCTAGAACAGCTTTCCAGTGTGTAACAGAAGTGAAGTGTAATTTTTAATCTTTGTTAAGAAACACTAGTGGCCTGGTAATTCTGCACATGTGTGTATGCAAATACAACAGGTATGACTTAGAAGAGGTGTTTCTATGATTCATGCAGAGCAAGGCATGGTCAGTTGAAAATTTGATTTCTGTTTTGTTTTGTTTTAAATCAACATTCAATATTGAAGATACTCTAATCAAAGTCTTATTAACTTACAGGTGCTGCTGTGGCCAGCTCATCAATCAACATATTCCACCTCCTCCGAGTATAACAGCTAATAAAAATGGAGAAGAAACAAAGCAAGTGGAAGCTCAGCCAGAGAAGTGGTCTGTCAGTAAACACACCCAGACATACCCAACTGATGCCTATGGAAACCTTGAATTCCAGGGAGGAGGACATTCAAATAAGGCCATGGTAAGAAGTGTATGGTACACAAAGATATTCATCTGGTATGTTAGCTGAATAGACATGGGTCAGGATTCCAGCTCACTCAGTGCATTATCCATTGAAATCAAAGAAGGTCTCTTTGCTGACTCAGAGAGTCAAGATGATCAAAGAGAGGAAAAGAGAGAAAAGGCAAGAAAAAAATACTACCTACTTAGAAACACCTTACAATGTCTTGATGAAACAGTTTCATTGAAGTTACTATCAATAAATATGAGCTAAGGAGGCAGCTGCATGTATTAGTGCGTAAGATTCCATCTGTTTGTATTAGATTTGTGGGGCAAAGAACCCAGCATGGACAGAGATAATTTTTTCTAAGGTTTGAAATCTAATACTAGTAGAAATTTGGTTTCCTGACAGAGCTGGGAAGTGGACTGCTCAGTTTTCTTAGCAGTAAAAGCGACAGCAAGTCAAGCCTCTGAAAAACAATTTTGTTTTGCCTCTCTTGTGAACAAATCCAAACCTGGATTTTCTTTGCCCATTTTCTTTCTTGTTTCTCTGCTGGGACTGCCACTTGAGACAAGCACACTGCAAAAAATTGTCCAGAATGTATCGGAGAGGTTGGGGGGGGTTTGGTGGTGGTTTGTTTGTTTTTAAAGTGGAAATTATATATATGAGTTTCTTTCATCATTTTCTTCTATTGAGCAGTAGTTTGAAATGAAAAAATCACAGTGATGGAACTAAACTAAGAAGAATGCACATCATTGCTACAGAGACAGAAATAGGTACATCAACAGCAGGTGGGATAAAATGTAGCATAAGCCTCCTAGTTCTTGTGAAGGTCATTGCTTCTCCTTGGCAGTCAAACCAGAGGTTTTAGGAGCAATACAAAACACCTGACAGTCATTTGAAGTAGGTGGTTTCCTACAATGCAGATCTGTAATAAGTTTAGGATCACTTGATTGCAGTCGGGTTTGCAGGTTAAGAGAGGAAAATGGTGCTTTGAAAAATCATGAAGTGAATTCTCAATAGCAAAGTGAAAGTTTTCAACCTGTTTTTTCTAATCAGGAGCAGCATGGAAATTTAATGTGTTGCTTAAAAATTGTAAAATTTTCTTCATGACAAAAGGCTTAATAGAACCATTCTGTGCTCAATGTGGCTGTTACACATTGCTCTTTGCAGTATATCCGTGTGTCATATGACACTAAACCAGATTCTTTGCTGCATCTCATGGTGAAAGACTGGCAACTGGAACTGCCCAAACTCTTAATCTCTGTCCATGGAGGCCTCCAGAACTTTGAAATGCAACCTAAATTAAAGCAAGTGTTTGGAAAAGGTCTGATAAAGGCTGCCATGACCACAGGAGCTTGGATTTTCACTGGAGGTGTTAGTACAGGTAGGCAATTACTAGCACTTCTGGTTTACTTAAGAATTCATTGATGTTTCTTCACTAATCTTTCCCACAGGCAGATTTAAGTCTACATGAACGAGTCATTAGCCATTAAACCAAAAAAAAGGAGCATTGTAATCATTTGTGTAAATCTCCTGCCCAGCCCATAAGATTTTCCTGGGTCAGTACTGGTTTGCATTGCTTAGTGCTTACTCTGAAAAAACTAATTGCCAGCCTTGGTTTCAGTAGCAAGGAATTTACCACTAGTTGTAATACATTTTTTCAGTGGTTAGTTATCCTTGTAGTCAAGAAATCTCCCACTCCAAATCTGCCTGGCTTTACCTTCTTACTGTTGTTTTGTACAAAGATCTTTGTGTTTTCTGAGCTTGTTTTCATGCACACCACTTTTGTCAGACTGCACAGGCCGAGTTCCATAAAACTCTCACACTACTCGTGTTTTCCAGCCCTTCAGTTGTCATCACACCTCTGCCTTGAATGCTCTCATTTTTAACAGCCTTCTTGAATTTTGAACAGTGCCATTTTTGAGACAATGCTTGATGAAGCTTTTAATCCTTGAGGTTAAGCAGCCTTTCTGCTTCCATTTGACACTTCCCTGTCCATGCAGCCATGGACTGAGGTAGTCCTTCAGATATGAAATCTCTCTGAGAGTGAACAACTGATAAACCACCTTAAATGCCATGCCCCTGAGTCAGTATCTCCGTGCCCATGGGGTCACCCACCACCGCACATGCACACTCTCATGTAAGTGTAGCAGGTATTTGTTCCTAAAGGAATAACTGTAAATTAGCAGTCTTGAAGCACAAACCTGAAGTGAGTTGTAAATGATTCTTCCTAAAGACATTGCAATTTCCTGTTTGCATTTCCCTTTGGTCTTCTGGCCATCTGAAACAGATTCATGTTTCTGTGTTTCCTTTTTTGGCTGTATCTAAACTATCTGTTGTAGGGCAGCTCCACATAATTCCACCAGGAGGTTTTTGACACTGTTCCTGAATTCTGTTAAAAAACTGGTGTCTGACACGATTTCTAGAATTGGAAAGACATGTTGAAAAATAGCTGGTTTGATGATTCCTTATATATTGTTGCATTTTGAGAGCAGTTGGTTTCTAATTAATTTCATTTATGTTAATATCAATTCTGAGTGATCTTCAAAAAACCATCAGATGCAAACTTCCACTGTAATATTTCTATAACAATATATTTAGCTGAAATAAATCTTTATATGTCAAGTTATTTCTTGGAAAACTATATAAGAATGGATTCCTTTGACCTTCATTTACACTAGCAAAGGTCTAATGTCTTTAAGGGAAGGTGATGATTGCTGTTCAGAATAATTTTTAAGTGAAAAAAATATTTCTTGGGTAACTCTAGGTTTGGATTTTTTGCTTGCTCGCGCCCCATATGGAATGAACACATTCCATGTGAGTTCAGATTATGTACAGTGAATAGCTTCATTCCAAACAATGGTGCAGATTACACCATCGCAAGTTAAAGAACCGGGTAAATCTTTCAAAGACTTCATTGAATTCAGAACAAAGATGTGAAAAGGCAATAGGATTTACATGCAACTGTTACAGAATTAAAGCATGGTTTGTCTGCATTGCAAGGTCTATGGTAAAGTAGAGGTACAAGTTCAGGAGTGAGGGCATTCCAGAAAAGCAGGTAGCTCTGTAAGAGGCAAGAAAAAAAATGTGTTGTTCAGTGATTGCTCAAAAGTGCAAAGAATGAATTAAATTAATTGTACTTACAGGTGTCATTCGTCATGTGGGAGATGCCTTGAAAGATCATTCTTCCAAATCCAGAGGACGAATATGTGCCATAGGAATTGCACCGTGGGGCATTGTAGAAAATAAGGAAGATCTGATAGGAAAAGATGTAAGTCTTTAAGGAAAGTCCCGTGTAATTAGCAATGTTGGCTGTGTAACAGCTCTTTGTCTTTTCAGAGTATTAATATTTTCACTATTTCTAAAGCACATCTAAGAACTGAAATTGAACAATTTCTTGAAGAAAAGCTGTTGTCAGGTTGTCATATATGGTTTCAAAGTAAATATGGAGCTAGGGAGGTTTCCATTGCTTTCAATAGTAGAGAACTCTCTGTGGTGACAGAGGTTTAGGTCCTAACTTCAGTATGGCATGCCAAGACTTCTGTAAATCATGTAAGGGCGTTTATGCATACAAGACTGGCATTTATTTTAGTTGGGTACTCTGCAGTTGCATATTAATTACTACAAACTCCAAATGAGACTGTGTCTTCTAATTCAGTAGGAGGATCATGTAACACAGTGTGTGATCAAGGAGAGTACATTGATGAGCTTAGGAGAGCACTCAGGAGAGTGCAGGGGTGTGATTGTCATCCTCCAAAAAAAACACTGCAATGAAGAGTTCAAGTGTTGACTGTAAAAGCGAGCTCCATGTCTAATTCTCCTCTATTTGTGGTTATAAAGGTCTGGTTGGTTTGTTTCCTCATAAGGCATGTGCTTCTGTTGGGCTGTGCATGGGATTATCACACTTAGCTCCTAGTTCTAACCTCGGTGTATCTGTCCTTTTGACACACAGGTAACACGGGTTTACCAAACAATGTCAAACCCTCTCAGTAAGCTCTCTGTGCTCAACAGTTCCCATACCCACTTCATTCTGGCAGACAATGGAACACTAGGTAAATATGGAGCTGAAGTAAAGTTACGACGTCAGTTGGAAAAACACATTTCCCTCCAGAAAATTAACACACGTAAGTACAGCTGTAAACATGACGTCTTAGGAAGGGAGGGAACAAGGGCATGAAGTAGTATTTAAAGGTATTGAAATTAAATGCTTCTTCCAGCTCTTTGTAGCACAAATTTGATCAGGACTGCATGACTAAACTTGAACATGTGCTGTCTAATAAGTTATAAAAGAGCCTGCATCTAACATGGAAAACCCAGAGAAATAAGGATTGCACGAAGGGTGGAAGAAAAGTTGACAGATAATAGCAAGGAGAAGCTTCAAAGCAGTAAGAGTTTAAGGAAATTGAAATGTCAAGAATTTTGTGCAGTTCTACCTAGAATTCATAAGCATCAGTGAACAGAATGGGGTAACTTTGTACAGTTCCTCTTCACAGGAATCCTGTGCAGCTCAGTGTTTCATGATTCCATAAGTTAATACAAACAGTTTATTTTCTCTCTGATAAAAATTTGTTTCAAATGAAACATCACACTCAGAATTCTGTGATCTTTCCGATAAACTCAGCTGGGATTTATTATTTAATGAAGTCATTATCGAGGCAATTTCACATCAGTACTTTCATATTTTGAGTTCTGTGCAGTTGCTACAGCCTCTCTGAAACAACTTCCTAGAATTCTTTTTGTCATTATGTAGAAAAAAAGAATAATTCAAAAGGCATTTTTTCATTAACATCTTTGTAGAAAAAAATGATTTTTTTTTTGAAGATGAAATAAATACACATTTTTAAGAGCTGCAGCTTAAAAAAACCCACCTAACAACCTGATTAAAAATGGTCCAATAAAAATTATATAGTCTTTGAATCCACACTTCAGTTAAGAATTGCTGGAGAAAAGACATCACTTCTACCAGTTGCCTTTCTGACTTCTTTCTGACTTCTAACGCAGCCTGTGTAGGCCTGTATATGTAAGAAAAAACAAACATTCAGAATGACAGTTGCATTGAACTCTACAGAAGTTTCTAATAGGATGTAAGTATTCTTACAGGTAGAGCAGAAAAAATGAAATAGAGTACCCATTAAATCCAGAAGGCTTTACCATCAGTCGCAAGACATCTCACCATTCTGGACAGTATTTACGTACTGCTTTTTGCCTACAGTAAGCTTAAGAAACTGAATTTGCCAAAGTGATGCCCCTTGCCTTTAGTGTGGAGACAGTGCTGCTCACTGTTGTCCACAAACATTAGGAAGAGCTAACCTTAGCTATGATTTTTGTTTTTATCTTGGTCTTCTGTGGAAGTGCTGGAATTGCTCTAGCATTGTAAAAGGGAGCACTGGCTTGGAAGATAAGGAAATCGGGGCCCAGAGGCAAGAAGTTCTCTATCATTTCTTTTAATACTTCAGGGGCTGGGGATGTTGGTTCTGGTTTAAGTAGTGTTTGGTGATTTTTGCCATGAGAAGGGCAAAGTTTGGAATACACGTGACAGTTAAGTTATATGAAGGGCTGCAGTACACCTACTAGTAACAACATACAGGGAGTTGTTTTGTTTCTTTTTAATCACTTCAAGCACAGGCACCTCTTCTGGAAATCTCATCAGGAATAACTAAGGATTTCATGGACACACAGGCCAGCCCATGCTCTGTGACTCGTCCTTATCAGAGCTGGGGTATACTGACAGCAGGATATCAGGAAGCTTCTGCTGTTATTGTGCATGATGTTCCTGTTCTTCAAAGAGGAATGAAGGTTGAAAATACAAACTCTTTCATATGTTTTCAGCCATACAAAATGTGCATGTTCTATATAAAGCACTGCTCATTTTACAGGTTAAGAACTGAATTCAAATGCTTATACTAGTGGGATTAGTCAGCCTTCAGGTAATGTTTTGTCCTTCATTTGCCCAAGTATCTTGTGACCAAGGCTACCGAGACCATGTGACCTGTGGGCTTCCCTTTGTCATCCTATGCCTGGAGATCACAGTGAGGCAGGGACAGCAAAGGGATGCTCAGCTGTCGTCTCTTCCATCGGCCAGCCATTGCAGCCTCATGACAAAGACACTAATTTCATATGTTTTATCTTGGGAGAAAGCATAGCTATGTGTCAACTTAATGAAGACTTCCTGTAGGTAACCAGTGAAGAGTTAAAGCATCAAAGACGCGGTAGCTGGGAGCCATCCAAGTAACAGTGAAGCTAATGAAGTAACAGGAGAATCATGTTAGCTGTTTTATCTATCAAAAGAGATTTCAAACGGTTCACCAATGTTTAGTGAATAAATGATCAGTACGTAGCTAAGGGAAGACCAAGGGCAGAGAGACATCTTACCTTTTTCCTTTTGGGGCTATGAAATGGCATATGAACATTTTTCCTGGTGTTGGCTGTGAAATGGCACAATTTTTCCTGACCGCTCTGGTCTGAAGTGATGCTGTAACAAAGTAATCACATCCCCTTATAATACCTCAACCTCTTAAACTCTGTTTCAATGACACTTCTTTTTTTGTTTCTGTTCTTGTTTTTGCAGGGCTGGGACAAGGTGTTCCAGTAGTTGGGCTCATAGTGGAAGGGGGCCCCAATGTGATCTCCATTGTATTAGAGTGCCTACGAGAAGAACCCCCTCTCCCTGTCGTGATATGTGATGGTAGTGGACGAGCATCCGATATTCTGTCATTTGCACACAAGTATTCAGAAGAAGGAGGGTAAGAATTCGAGATCTTCACCAAAGCTGTGTCTTGCTGAGGAGGACAGTGTAGGACTAGATGCCTTGTTTTCGTTAAAGCTTCATTAGAAAACCAGCTCAAAAATGCTGCTAGCAGAGGCATCCTGCTGTCAGTCAACTTTTGTTGCCTGTTGATCTTAGTCCTGGCATTAGTGGGTAGAAATTGTTACCACTTGGAATGTATTTGATGGTCCATTGAAATAAGCATGGTCTCAGTGAAATAAGCATGGTCTCAGGGCAGCACACTGTCACACAAGCTTCATCACCTTTTGCTGCACTGTATTTGGTGCTGGGTTGGGCATGTTAGAAGCAAGGAACAAATGGTTGCCAAGAATTATTCTTTTTCTCAGGCCAGGGCTGAGGTTAATTAGTGCATGTATTTGCAAAGTTTGTGCTGCCTGATTCTAGTGTGTTGTGTGAATGAGCTTCATTCTCCAAGACTGCCAGACCAGCTGGAAAAATGTTGGGCTGACTTCCATTCTCTTGCTATTTTCTTGTCTGTGATGGTTCTTCAGGGCAGTGCTGCCTGATGTCATGAACAGAGTGGAGGATGTTCTCTGGAGCATTTTACTCCATAGCTCTCCTTTCCATTGCCCAAATGAGTCTGTAAAAGTCACTTCCAATCCAGAGTTTCCTGGAGCCTGTTATCTGTATGATTGGTTGTCTGCTCCTTTGGTTGATAGAAGTAAGGTTAGTTTAAAGAAGATACAAAGCCTATACTAGCAGCATTAAGCTCATCTGCTCTGTAGAGTAGATCTGGCCTGACAATACTCTTAAGTGGAGTGCATTTTTTAATTTAAAATGCTGCTTCTTCCAGACAAGCCATTGTTAATATCAGTATTTGGCAAACTCAGGCAAAAACCAAGTATATTATCTTGATTAGGGTACAGCACACCCATCTTAAGCTGAAGAAATAGCCTACTTCCCTGACTGAAGCTGGAGCTTAGCTTGGATTAAATATTAAGCAGACAACCACCATTGTCAAGCAGTGTGGATGTTATTTGCTGAATATATATTGGGAGGGCAGTCTGATGCTGGATTATTTTAATGTTTACACACAGTACATATGTAATCTGTCCGGCAGTATTTATTATTCAGCAACTTGGTTTCCCTTTCTGCTGACCAGCTCCTTAGCTTAGGTCAAACTTTCCTACTTTTTTTTTTGATTTCTCATTCCTCCTTTCCCAGTACATTTGATGCAGTGTCCAATTTCCCTTTCCAGTAATTCTGGTGAGATAAGTATGTTCATCTGGGAAGGCAAGTCTGCAGTGAGAAGTTTTTGTGAACGCTGCTGTCTAAATGAATAATTTTCTCACAATGAGCTTTAGTTTTACTGCACTTCACAGGCTCAGCTGCCCACTGCTTTGAATGCCTGCTGGTCATGTTCTCCATCACCTGAAAATACATGTGTTTTATTAGGAAATGGATGAAGATTGAAGGGCTCTGTTTCAGTTTGCTTTGAGACATCAAACATTGCTGACCTTTCTAGAATGTTTTTGATCTAATTTCTTTAATTACTTGGATATTATGAAATTTCAGATACATTAGCAATTTAAATCCTCTGTTTAAGAAGATAACCAAGACAACCAAGGTGACATACCAGTAATGTGAAATACTTTGGGGGATTTTAGCTATATGCAAAGGGCCTTGCAACATTTAGAGGTGTAGGTAGGGGTCCTGTAAGGTGTACTGCTGAAATCCTCAAGACTGAACCTCCTAACAAGAAGTATATCTATAATACATAACAGGAGTAAGAGCCACTTTCATTTATTCCAGGGTGAAAGGATAGTTCAAGTTCCCTGCCAGGTTTTTACTCAATGTTGAAGTACTGAGATGCACAAGAGCCAGTTTGGGTATGAATTTCCTGGTTGCTGTTCACTCTTCATTCTTACCTGCACTGAATGCAAAAATGCTGTGTGTTTTCATTTATTTATTTTCAAAATAAAGTCATTGCACTGCTGGGTGAAAATTTGTTTTCAGACACCAAGCTTCCTGAAAAGGTACTAATCCTGGCAATGTCTTCTTTTATGTCTCATTTTTCATTTAGGATAATAAGTGAATCCCTTAGGGACCAGCTTCTAGTTACCATCCAGAAAACCTTTAACTACAACAGGAATCAAGCTCATCAGCTGTTTGTCATTCTTATGGAATGCATGAAAAAAAAAGAACTTGTAAGTCTCCTAAAAGTAGTTCACAAAGATAATTTCTGTGAGCAAATTTCACAGAGTACTTTTAAGTGCTGTTCTCCCAGGGTTACAGTTGAACCTTTTTCTTTCCATGTAACTCCATAAATGTACACAATCATTCATTCATAAGGATATACCAAGAAAGGAAAGCCTCTAAGGATTCTTCTTTTGTGTGAATTGATAGGAGTCTTTTTTCATGGACTTCAGCAAGACAGACTAAGACACTGAGACAAATATACTAAAACGAGGATCAACTGCAGAAAGTAGAGGAAAGATAATTGAGGAAAGGGCTCCTTGGTGCAGTGAGCATTCAGAGGGCATCAGCACAGTTTTTGTCTTCTGATGCAGTTACTCTTTAGCAACTTTTAATTCCATTAAAATAGGCAGTTCAGGTTTTTCAGAAAAAATTGAAACATTAAGCATTCTCAGAGATCCTAGCCATGCCTGATCCTGGACTATTGCAGGCCTGCTCTGTGTACTGTACCACTCACTCAGGTTCCTGCCTGTCTGCCATATCCCAGGTGCAGAGAAAAGTGTGTTCAGGAAAGGAAAATCTTTAACATTCCCATGTGTTGTCTGTGAACAGTATCTTGAATTGTGTTCACCGTGCCTATGCTTTTGCAGGCAAAATGAATCTTTGAGTGTTTTCCTCTGACTGATTGTCTTAGTGAATTTTTGTAAGTCTGACCTCTCCCTGGAGTCCTGGTATAATTCAATTTCATTCTTTCATACAAATCCTAAGCAGCTGTTTCCATAGCAGATGAACAGTCTGGTGGAAATTTTGTGGGGGTTGTGGATTTTTTTGGTTTGTTTTAAATACAGCTGGAGCTGACATGACTGATATTTTTGTCTTTCTTATGGAGTTGCATATTTCTGTTAGATAGAAACAAGAGAACTACGACAGCCTGATGTTCAGACTGTGCGTAGGGAATCAAGTAACCAACCTGCTACTAAATTACCATATGAAACGCAGGAAATTTTCAATCTTCAAGGTGCCTAATTGTATCACTAATGAAGTGACATCTAGAGCAGTAGAAGCGGTAAAGTAACTGAATGACAGATGAAACTTGCGTCATGAGACTGAGAAAAGAGGGAGGGTTTTTTTAAGTTCATAGGAAAATGGTGTTTCAAGCTCCCTTAAAACTAAATGTGTTTTCCTTTCAGAGAGCCCACACTTCCTGTCTTTGGTCTGCTTGGAGACAATCTCTGAACTCTGGTCTTCCCAAGTTTAATACTGTTTCCAACAGATGATGCAAAACTTTGATTTCTAGAAGTAATTGCTTGTTTGTTCAATGACATAATAAATCCCGCTCTGGTACCCAAGAGAAGTATGCACTACCATGCACAGGCATGCTTCTGGTTCCATCTTTTTGTGGTTTCATACTGACTTGATGCTTATGAGTGAGTGAAGGGTTAACACACGAAAGACCACTTGATCGCCACTTAGAGTGATAGAACACACAGCTGAACTCAGCACATTGGTAGTAAGCATAATGCAAAGAAGTTTCCTCAAATCCATGGATCAATCTTTGTGCTAGTCCTCTTTTTTTTTTTATACAAGCTGCTCCTGGCAATCAAAGTGCCAATCAAGGCATAATTTTCACATTACTCTTGATTAATTAAACACTGGAAATAAGGCCATCATTTTTTATCAGATTAGAACTATCCCTGATATTCTAGTCAAGGAACAGAGAGGAGTACAAAAACCGACCAGAATCCACTGAATGAACTATGAGATGTCCTGTTCTACTTTTCAACAGACTTTAAGTCTCACATCAGAAGGATGGCTAACAAAGAATTCAGAGCATAAGGGAGGTTACATTATGAAGTTTAATGATATTTGCTATCTTTTCTTTCTCTTGATCTGGAAAGATGGACACTAAAATAGATTTTGAAAATTTTCAAACATTAAGTAAAATTATTTCTCAAAGTTTAATGCCAACTCTACTGTTACATATTTGCTGCCATAGACATGCGTATAGAGCCCAGTCTCTCTCAAGTAAAGCTGGTACAAAATACTCAGTAAGGTTAGGGGGTTTTGGCTGAGTCAAGGAACACATGAAAACACATCAGTTGCTCTTAGAATTAATCTACAAAGGCATCCTCAACATGTTTCAGGAGAGTGTCCTGTGACAATTGAAATGACACAGTATTGGGATGGCAATCTGTGTCAAGCAGTCACCAGGTTGTCTGCAGACTCTCTCCGCACTCCAAAAAGCTCACCTTCTCCCAGAGATTATGATGGGCTTTAGCTCATGCCTCTGACTTTTCCTTAAAGTGTTGCTCTCAGCTGCCAAGGAAGTGCTTACTTACGTATCTATACATGTCAAGATAACAACTAAATAATTCAATTTCAACGCATAGTTTTCCTCTTCCTATGCAGACCTGATTTACTCAGCAAAATTCAGACTGTGCATCTCAAACAGGCTTATGGTTTGCATTTGTTGATAATTTTGTCTGCTTTCTTGGTAATTATATTTTTTCCTTTAGTTCTTGTCTCTTCTAATGTCATGCATCTTGTGTTCATGCAAAGTTAATTCTAACTGTTCAGAAAACTGCTATTCCCAGTACTTAATGCTAGCATCTGCTTTGAAGAGGTGTTTTTAGAAAATGAAGAATTAGTTATTTTTTCTGTCTGCCTTCAGTATTGACTTAATTAACATAGAATATGAGGTTATTCTGCTTTTGAATTATTAATCTTTTAATAAGTAGTCCACTGGCTAGGCTTTATACAAACTAGTATTTTTAAAATCAGTGAATTGTAACAGATTGAGCAGATGTGCCTAGAAAGAATAGTTGCTTTTCTTTATTAGTTGATTCTGCTTATTTGGTTATCAATATGTAGCATATCCTGCAACTAAACATATATGAGTGTTACTGTCAATAAAATTAATGCTATGATAGTGCTCTTGGATACCTAGCATTTCCATTTCCAAGCTGGCATTTCCATTACTACTGGAAAATAATAGAACTGCCAGGGAAGAGTTTGGCATGGCAGTTTTAGCACCACCTTTTGAATTTCACTGGTATGGTGAAGAATTCAACCAAACTTGTCATGTTTACCAATGCAGGGACACTTGACGATAAGTTTATTGCAAGAATTTAATTAAATGTTCCTGTGACAATGAAATTTCATTTATAAAAAAAAGTGAATGGAGATGTACTTTTTGAAAAATCTCAAGTCTTAAAAAATAATAATCCTTCACCATTTTTCCCTTTTTCCTACCTACACATTTACTCTCTCTCTTTTATGTGTTGTAATTGTGTGTGTTTGGTTTTATGCTATCCTTTAGATTACTGTGTTCCGTATGGGGTCTGAAGGGCAGCAGGACATTGAGATGTCTATCTTAACTGCTCTCCTAAAAGGTGGGTTTTGCGATCAGTTAGGAAGAATGCACAAACTGATCCTAAGAAGTGATCCTAAGAGCCTCGGAGTCCTACACTCTGAGGTTCACTCTTGATGTTTAAGTCTTTGATTTGTTCACTTGAATTCTAGCTAGTAACCTGAACGTGCTTGGTTTAAGGCTTAGATTGGCTTGGGGCATAAAATCTGTATTGAAAGTTTTGTGTAGCTTTCCTCACTTGAAAGCCTGGGATGGGAATGCTGCAACAGCAATACCACTCATATTTCAACAGGCTTTATTGCACTTCTAGCCTGTATTAATAAAGTTCGAAAAACAGGTGGGAAGATTAAAAGACTATCTGGACTCTCCCAGATTTCAGATTGTGCTCTATAAGCCTTAGGGCAAAATTTATGATCGGTTCCATATTTATTTTGAGTTTGTTATGTTTGCTGAAACAACTGTTTTCTGTCTGCAGGTAGATAGTAGCTGATACGGGCTCAATATGGGATCACTAAAGTCCCCAAAGCTGAGAAATAGAGAGGAATTACTGTACTCCTATCCACAGCATCAGCCAGAGGAGCTGAGAGAAGTAGTCTTTTAGAACAGTTAGATGTCTCTCTTTGCATAAGAATATAAAGTCAGTGTGGAGTTTTAAGGAAAAGAGAGAGAATCTCATTAATTCTTTTGAAATTAGGATTATGTGGTGAAATGGAAGATGCTATAAATCGATTTGATGAATCCAGGCATGAAATACTGAAAATGTGCATGTTTCTCATCAGGTACCAATGCATCTGCTCCAGACCAGCTCAGCTTGGCTTTGGCCTGGAATCGTGTAGACATTGCACGCAGCCAGATCTTTGTCTTTGGACACCACTGGCCAGTAAGACAAAGTTTTCCCAGTCTTCTTGTTTGTTAGACATTTAAAACAAGTGGTAGAATATTCTCAGCTTGGATTTTGTTGGCAGGAGAAACAATATTCAATTCTGGTTTATGCTGAACTGATGTGGGATACCTTAGTAATTAAGAATGACTTATTTGTTTTGAAATTACCTTATACTGCCATTGGCAAATATTGAACAATAATTTAAACTCTGTGAAAGAAATAAAAGCAATTTCATGGCAAGCAGGAGAATAACCTTATTTCAGAGTCCTTGTAGGGTGTAGCATGGACACATGCTAGCAGTTGGCAAGATCCCCAGCTACCTGAAAAACATGTGGCCTGGAAATTCATGGAGCTGCTGAGGAGTTCTGTTGCTCACTTAGTAAACCTCTATTTGGATTAATGGAGCAAAATCCTGCTGACCAGAAGAAACCATTGCAGAAAACAGGCCTCTGGAAAGCAGAGCTGTGCCAAATGAACTAAGAAGCAGATCTTCAGTAAACCTTCAGGTCCTGAAATTGGATTGTCTTTTCCAAATTACTGGAGTTTGATTGTGTAGCAGCTGAAGTCAATGGTGAAACACTGCAGTGCCTCTGTTCATCTGTATAACTAAAATCCTTTACATACGCCTCTCTCACGTTCATACGCATACTGTAAAAACAGTGGGATTTATTTCATTTGGAAGCCCATATAATTACATGTAAACAAATGTTGCTGCATGTGCTGTTCTAGTCTTTCACTTAATATGATGTTTCTGATACACAAGGTTCATTAAAATGCTTATATAGAGAGGATTTAATTATTGTGAATGTGATGATGTACTATTACTAGATAACATTTATTTTGACAGAATGCTCAAATCTCCGTATTATTGTGGTTGGATTCAGAGGTACCACCTAGCAGCTGAAGCCAGCTACTGCTTTGGCCTGTTTTACACTCAAACTCTGCAGCAATTTGTGGAAACTGTATCAGCCACTTGGGATTCACCATGATTTCAAATCCATGATGATTACTTTCAGACTAGCCTGTGCTGCAAGTTGGCAGTTGGAGTTTTGTCCAGGCTTGCAAATGGATTTATGGGAGCTAGGCAGAGATTACTTTTTTAGGACAAACAAAACCACGGAAAACAAACCTTGCTAAAGCCTCAGCTCTGTGGTTCTCTGTGCAGAGCAGGGGTAGTTGTAATCCACTTTGTGTTCCTGGAGGTTATATAACCTAAGCATTAGCTGGAGCAAGTTAAGCTTCCAAATCACAGACAAGTAGCGTCAAGTTATTTGATGTTTGCCTGCCCGTCTTGGGCAGACAGGTTGGAAGGGGGAAGAACACTGAAAAGAGTAAATGTGTCTGAGGAGGTATAAACAGAAATCTTGTCTGCAGAATGTAAATGAGCCATTTCCTTTGAGAAAAGACAGAAAAAGAGCGGCTCTTTCCTCTCCTTTTTGTCTCCACAGTATGGATGCTATTTGGCAACATTCTTGTTAAGCTCTTTCTGTCCAGTTCCTATCCTGCTTGTTGCTATTTGACAGCTATTGCTTCTATTGCTTTCACTGAGAGCAGAGGAAGTGAAATGTCACAAAATTGAAGTGTCTCTGCCTGTGTTTTAGTCCTCTTGCCCTGATTTTATGAGATAAATCTTCCACAGCCTGCCTGCTTCACTACTTAGACTTTCAGTGTTGGTGACTCTCTTAGACATAACAGCCTTGCAAAGCTATAGAGCCATGACTATGCGAAAAGGTCGTTATACTGAAAGAAGTTATTTCTAGTTGACTGCATGTGGGAAGTGGTGACTGGGGAGCAAGTTCAATAGGAGTGTATCCAAAGAAAGAGTCACTTCTAATGCATTATTAAATACAGCCTATAGGTAGCCTTACAGCTCCTGATGGTACAGCTCCTGAGAAGGAAAAGAAATCTCCAGTTGCTCAGACTAAAGCAGCCAGAGGGAAAGGAAAAGGGAAGAAAAAGGGAGGAAAAGCAAAAGAAGAGCCAGAAGAAGAAACAGACCCAAGAAAACTTGAGCTCCTGAACTGGGTGAGGTGAACGTATTTGTATTAAGACTGTTGAAGAATTCCTTAACTTTGGTGGGTTTTTTCATCCTGGAGTACAAGGAGAGACAGAAAATACACATTTTCTTTCCATAGAACGATCATTTGCACATTCTTACAACATCAGCAGTAGATCCTGCAAAGGATACTTACTGTTCAGTCTCTGAGCCAGGAAACCCTCTCTTATCTTACGTGCACCATATGCAGCCATATCACAACAGTACAACTCAGTGCTTGTCTGCTTCATCTTCTTCCTTGTGCTTGCCAGAAGGAAGAATACCAGTGAACATCTTTATCCTGCCTTGTACATGCTATTTCTTCAGTTAAGGCCGTCGAAACAGCTCCATTTTTAAGTGCTTTGTTTTCCATTTGCAGTTGGTTAGGTTGGTCTGTTGTCTGAAGTTCATCTGTCAAGGGGACTGCTGCTCAAGGGATTTTTCCCTCTCCTATTGAGTTCTAACCCCTTAGAATTTAATGAGGGAAGACCCATTAGGCTTCCTGACTAACGTTTTCCAAAAGAAAAACTAAGTTGGTAAAGGAAGAGGAAGTGCTTCTTTCCAAATGATTTGAGTATTTTGGCATTATATGCCATCTTTTCTCTGGGAGGCAGCAGTTTGAGTAGATGATACATATGTGAGTTATCAGGAAAATTATGTCAATATCATTTTAAACACATACAGTGTGTTTTCCTTACATTTTAACTTATTTTTATCATGTTGAGCAAGCAGATCTCTTCCACATAACATGTCAAACACAGTATGCCTGGTTTAGTTAAAAATGCTAAACTAAAAGCTACAGCTGTGTTGCTAAAGGTTTATTTCACTGCTCTCCTCTTGCTCAAGACTTCATTGGAAAACTCCACTATCTGCATTGACTTGCATATGGGTCAAATGTTGTTTTCAGTTACAGATTAATCAGCATATTTGGGAACTTGGGAATATCCTAATGAAAATGTTTGTGGTTGTTGGCCAACTAGCTCTTCTCTGCTCACACAGTCTCACATTCTCCATTCTGGAATGCAGGTGAACTCCTTGGAGCAGGCTATGCTGGATGCACTGGTTCTGGATCGGGTGGACTTTGTGAAACTTCTTATTGAGAATGGAGTGAACATGCAGCACTTCCTCACTATTCCTCGACTGGAAGAACTTTATAATACTGTAAGTGAGCAGAAATAATAAAATGCTCTGTGATATATTTGCTACTATATTTCACAGGGTTGCCCTTTTTCTTCTTCTCCTTCTGAGATACGCTTTCTTTTTTTCCCCAGAAAGCTCCAAGTCCTGACAATACACAGTTGTTGGATAGCAGTAATGGGAGATGTTGCTACTACATACAGTGCTCTATTGTATCCCTACATACACACATATACATCAGCTTTCAGAAGCTATTGTAATTTGCTGTGTAAATATAGTGACGTATTTAAAATGCACCTTTGGAACACCTAAAGAACTACTGTAGATAGTAAAACTTTAATACCAGCCCATAGTGGCCATGTACTTTTAATCTCAATTACTTTTCCTGTATGTATACATTGTAATGTTACTGAATAAGCCTGTAAATTTGGAAAGTATTTACATGACAACTTTTGTTTTTAGCATGTTGCAGAACTCAGCATCATTTTATCTTGTAGCCTGTCATGGTTTAAGCCTAGCCAGTAACTGAGAATCACACAGACACTCACTCACTCCCCCAGTAGTTACATTTGTGTGTGCCAAAAATCTAAAGAATTGAAGATCTAATGGACTGTGAATGTTTTTGTTTCAGAGATTGGGTCCACCAAATACACTACATTTGCTAGTCAGAGATGTGAAAAAGGTAAGTTTGACTCCTAGCATTACATTTGCATTGGTTGCATTAACCATGTGAGTCAACAGCAAAAGCAAACGTAGTATGGGGGAAAGCAGACATTTGAAATTAAATGGTAGCTGTTATGAAAAGGAAAGATTGACAATGTGATGTCAATCACGTTATGATTGACATCACATTGACAAACAGTGATGTCAGTTTAAATCAGGTATGGCTGTCCTGCTCTGCAAGGAATTGAAAAACAAAGGAAAGGAAAGTTTAGCTCCTAGCAGTGTAATATATCATTTGAGATGCAGGTTGATACTGCTTCTTCTCTACAAGAAGCTCACAATGCAGCATTGTTGTGGTTTAAGCCAAAGGAAGAGTGGAAGGAAAGGCCTGCTGGGTTAACTAGAAGCCCCACTCATGAGCTAGTTCCCTTTTGTTTGTGTCCTTTTGTGGTTTGGTTTTTTTAATTCCTTTTCTCCCATCAATCCTACGTTTTCCTGGAAGAAGATCTGTTCCGTTTCTCAATGCTACACGTCCTAAATTTGTTATTCATTTGTTTCCATTGCATGTAAATCTGTTCATTATACATGAATAGGGTCATTGTGAGATTTGTTGTCATATTTGCTCTGTTCGAGGGTTTGGGGCTTTTACTCAGTAAAATTCAGCTACATGAATAGCCTGTATTCCTTTTTGCAAGGAAAACTCCTATTTATTCCAGGGAGGCTTAGATGTGGGAATTGCACAGTACTGGGTTAATGTATAATTCATATTCATCTGCTTCATAGCACAATACTTCACTCAGTGTTTGTCTTTTTGAGTGTTACTAATGCTCTTCTGCATTCTGCTTTCTGTCTGTCTCCTTTTCATTGCATTCATACTCATTCAGCGGCAGTCTCGGGGATTCGGTTGGGTTAACATGGAGGTGATGTGTTTGCTTAGGATATAGTTATTTCATCATAGCAACTGCTCGGTGGTGCTGTAGAATCAGTTATTGTTGTAGGATGTAGCGTGAACAATGGAGCAGTTTTCAGCTCATGTTTCTAGCAGAGTCAGTACCACTATCCAGTTTTTAAGTGTAATGACAGAAATTAGAGTCTCCCTTTTTATTTAATTCTGGCTTGCACTTTAATGTAGATCATATTCTGCATTGTAATCTTAACTCTGTAGATAATATTATGGTGAAATATAAATTACCATAAGAGGTAAAGTATGCCTGATACTCATCATGAAATTAAGTTACGCTTTTATACTGGATTAATGGTAATCAATACGAAGTTATTTAATTTCATCAATATAACCCTTGCAAACAACTCAAGCGTGTATGGACGCTGACTGTACGAGTAAACCGAATGAAAATTTGGCCTCAGCTATAAATTCTGCCAACAGCAAAACAAAAAAACTCTGCCCCCTCCAATTCTATTATGTGAATCAGTTGTCACACAAACATTCAGCGGTTGAAACCAGTGGCTGTAAATAATACCCATGTGCCAACTTGAGCATGACTTATATGTCTAGCCTTGCAATTTAATGTATGTTAATGGTTTTTTTATCCTAAATCCTTATTTTTTTCTTTTTTAATTTTTGGTAGGGAAATCTTCCACCAGATTATCATATCAGCCTCATAGATATTGGTCTTGTACTTGAATATCTCATGGGTGGAGCTTACCGCTGCAACTATACGCGAAAAAGTTTTCGGACTCTTTATAATAATTTGTTTGGACCAAAGAGGGTAAGAATGAGTTCATTCTGGATGTGGCCATAGTGCTGATGGTAAAAACTAAGTAACACTGTTCTTTGTCTTTGTGAAACACTACGTGCTAATTCTAAACAAATGCTGCAAGACTGAAGTTGAAACTCTGGTAGTGAAGTGGTACAAGGAACCTGTAAAAACATGTTAAAGGATGGGAGGACCCAAAAGGTGGTAAATACATTGATCTGGAGGTGAATTTCCTCCCATTCCAGTAGTTTACAATCCAAGCTTTTCTAACTGTGGTGTTTGCATAGTTACTTATTCCTACTTGAAGCTGTAGCTCTCATACCTGTAAACTGTGCTGCTCAAGCCAGGCCTATTGATTAAGTCATCTTAGCCAACAGCAGCTTAGTTTGGGTGAGGCAGAGTGTTCATCAGAATACAGAAGAGCTGTTACACGAAGTCATGTAAAGAACTGTTCTGTATGGAAGCCACTGCAGTCTCAGTAGGGCTTTTAGTATTTTTAGTATATTTAGTACCAATTTTTAGTATTTTTAGTATATTTAGTATTTTTAGTACCAATTTTAGTATATTTAGTACCAATACTGAGAATATCAAGCATAGTGCTTGCTTTGATAAAAAGTCTGTTCTAAGCAAACAGAATAATTTTCTTCATTAGCTTATTTATTTGTTTGGTTCAGCTTTGAAGGTCAAGTGAAGCTTCCTAATTACAGAAATTCCCACAGATGATCAGAAGGCCACTCATGTAGCTGATGTATGGTACATATATGGTGTAGTATTATCTGATGGAGCAAACAAATCAACCTTTAGGGAAAATGTAAACCAGAGATTTTGCAATTGAACAGAGGGATTTGTATTTTTTAAATGGGAAATTGTGAGAGGTTTCAAGATCTGTTATATCTTTTTACTGTTCCCTATGTTTAACCCATGTATGCTTAGAAGCACTATTTTTTGTTGATCTTTTGTGTTCACGCGGTGATTTTCGTTCTCAAAGCAGCATATTCTTGAATGATTCAGTTAACTCTTCCGTGTGGATCAAAATCCTTGAGTGCAGATGGAAAATATTTCCTAACACATTGGCTTCCTGAAAATACAATTTAAAGTGAGATTAATTAATTGTACCACTATTGGTACAATTATTTAGAATAGTAAATTTAATAATAAATACTGTACATTTGTAAATGTTTTTCCTTGGTATTGTTTGGTCTTTGAATTTTCCTTCCCATCTAACTAATTTTCTTTTTCATTTTTAATATTCAGCCAAAAGCTCTTAAACTACTAGGAATGGAGGTAAGTTGGATTTATGGTAAAATACCGTTTTTTATTAGAGCATTTCTTGGTAAAGTTCTGCTCTTGCTCTTAGCTTTTGCACTATTACTGTGGTAAAGTAAATTTGTACTAGAAAAAAATCTTCTATTTTGAAAACAGCCTATTTGATACTTTGGACTGTTTTTAATGGGAGTCTTCAGAGCTGCTTAAAGCTTTGCTCAACAGTCTTTAGGCAGTTTTAGCACTGTTATGTAACAACACGTTCCATGTTGGAACATGCTGTAGATTTAACAATTCAGATGGGAAAATTTATGGTATTGAAAAGAGAATGTGATCCAGCAGAGCTTACGGTCAAATCCCTTTTAACCATGAAGTAACAATGTGTGTGTAAATGAAGTTTTATCGTAGATAAAACACAAAAACGCTAAGTACATTTCTCATGAAGTATGCTTTTATTAACACAGTGATAGTATTAGAACAGAGTGTATGTACCCTTTTCTTGAGTCACATTTGATGGGAACTAAACTCACCACAAAGCCTCTGTTTCCCCAAGCAGATGAGAAGCTTTCTTCACTACAGAGGAAGTCCAAGTTATGTTTAAACTCTCTGATCAGCTTCCTATTTTCTAATGGCTCAAGACCAAAAGCTCAGCCCTTGAGGTGTGACCTTTTTTTTCTCAGCATTGATCACATATAGGTTGCCTAGTGCTTCTCCAGAAGTTGATTTTGCTATTTCTTTCATTGAGAAATAGCTTACATGGCCAAAGTGTTTTCTCCACTTGTCAGTGGCTGTGTCCCATTCCCTTCTTCCAAAAGAAAGAAAAAGTGAAAAGAAAAATTGGTATTTCTTTTGCTGAAGTGGTCAGTAAATTGATGTGATTCAAAGTGTTGAGGTTGTTTTGATTTCCAGTGTTACAGCCCTAAACAGGAAGTTTAGTTTCCTTAGCGCTTTGACTTTCTCACCCAGGGTATTGTTTTGATTTGATTTTTTTTTTTTAGTGTGAGGAGGACCTAATCCTTGGTCCTCCATTTGAGATGCTTCAGAGATGCTTACCACTCTTCATGTGCATGCAGTTTCTGACCCCTGAATTTTCCATAAGAGACAGAGGTCACCACTTGCAGTTCTTAAAACCGCTGGAAGAGAGAGCTCTTCATTGTTAAGCCGAAGAGCTGTCTTTGAAACATGGGGTGTGAGGCTGAGCACTCAGTTTGCATTTAAGTTTGTATTTTGCGAAAAAATAGTGCATTATGCTGAGCTTGCTTGAACAGGAACTAATTTTGGAGAATGGTAATTGCTTTTACTTGCAATACTCTTCTGAGTCTGGAATCGAGGTGTACAGTGATCATGAGCTCTGTCTGCACCTATATATGTAATGTTTTTCCTACATTATCTATAGCCCTAATTTTCCCAATCCTGGCTTTTCTCCCTTCAGGATCCTGCTTCATTGTCAGTACTTCCCTTCAGTTACTTCCATGTTGGTTCCTGTAGTAATGGCCTATCCTCCCTATCCCTTTAAGAAACGGGATACTTATACCCTCCGTTTCCACTGCATACATAAGAGGAGATTGCTATTCAAAGGTGAAGACTCCCTTTAGTATCTTGCTGTTCTTAAGGATGCTGTCTGCTTGTCTTCTCCATTTGCATGTTACCACTCTCTCCACCTCCATGTCATCTGAAAACTGCTTTGATACCTGTAAGATATGCAGCACTGTTCTTCAGGAATAGATGCAGACATATCAAATCAGAAATTCCAGTGGAACCTATTCATAGTGAATTCAGGTTTGTTAAAGTTCCACTTGCACTGCAAAGGAATTCATTAAATATTAATTTATTACAAATTAACTTGCAACAACTTATTGCAATGAAATTGCAATTACACGTGTGGAAGAGATCTATTTCCAATGCAGTATAAAATGATGCCTTCAGTACAATAGGGTTCTACTGTACGTATCCAAGATGGGTGACTTGTAATTCAGTATGCAAGAAATGGTTCTCTGAATAAAATAGCAAGCTGCGTGTACTGGCCTAGTGCCTGCTCTGTTACATGTTCTTCATAGTTTTATTGCTATTGGCATTCATTGTAGCAAACAGCAAAAACAAACGAGATATTTAATTATTAATACGTCCTTTAAATACTTGTTCTGTGCATGGTGTCATTGTCAGGTAAGCTGTAAAAATTAATGGGAACATTTTTCTCCTTTTCTCCCCAGGATGATGAGCCTCCCACCAAAGGGAAGAAGAAAAAGAAGAAGAAGGAGGAAGAGATCGATATTGATGTGGATGACCCAGAAGTCAGCCGTTTCCAGTATCCCTTTCATGAGCTGATGGTGTGGGCCGTGCTGATGAAACGGCAAAAGATGGCACTTTTCCTTTGGCAGCGAGGGGAGGAAACCATGGCCAAAGCACTGGTGGCCTGCAAACTCTACAAGTCTATGGCCCATGAGTCTTCTGAGAGTGAACTGGTGGATGACATTTCTCAGGATCTGGACAACAACTCAAAGTTAGTAGATGCAGAGCAGACTTTATATCTACTTGATATAGGGGGTTGTCTGAGCAGCTAAGAAGCTTTACTTCTAGTAAAGTACAATTGATTTCTAGAATGTATGTTTGCAGAATGGCATTTGGAGTCAGTTTATCAAGAGTAAATGAGCTAAAATGTCATCTCAGAATCCGAAGGCAACATGAGCAATGAGAAAACTTGCATTTTTTCTGACAGAACACATTCTTTTCTTCATTTTCTCTCTCTGTAAAATTAGCTAGTTTTATTTCACAAAGTTATTTTCAGGGTTTACTCACATAAAGTAAGGGGTATCTGATGATATACATAAACTGGCCTTAAGATGTTATTGGTTTAAGCTAATTCTGGTCACTAAAAATCTGTTGGGAGCTTTTGTAGGCTGTCCCAAGTCAAGCTTGAGACTCAGCTGTGCTTGTCCTTGTACATGTGTGTGGGAAAAACATGATCCCCTGTGAGCAGAATGAAAACCCCAAATGCAAGCAGACACTGATTTCTAAATCAGACTTCACTGGACTTACCTTGCATTTTCCAGAGATTTTGGCCAGCTGGCTGTTGAGCTCTTGGATCAGTCCTATAAACATGATGAGCAGATTGCCATGAAACTTCTGACATACGAGCTGAAAAACTGGAGTAATTCTACTTGCCTGAAATTGGCTGTGGCAGCTAAACACAGGGACTTCATTGCTCACACATGCAGCCAGATGCTCCTAACAGATATGTGGATGGGTCGACTACGCATGCGGAAAAACCCAGGCCTTAAGGTATTTCTGTTCTGCAGCTGTTTTCAAGGGTATGGTTTGTTGCATATAATACTCCATTATACATAGAGTATGCATAGAACAAATTGGCTTACTAATTACAGAAGTTTAAACAACTTGCTTGTTTTAAAGCTAATTATTTTTTGTTTCCAAATTCGGGATATCTAAGGAACATTACTGTATGACACAGGAAAATACAAATCTATAAAAGGCTTCTCATAGTTGGAATTTGGAAGTGAAGTTGTGGCTTTCAATGAATGATGACATCTGTTCATTGAAAGCATACACCTTTGATTAAAAATCAGTTGAATACAAGCTATTAGGGGTCCACACAATGGGAATAGAGAGAATATGAACCAGACATGGACACATGCTTCTTACATTCCTTGTAAGCAATTTTTAACTATTAAAACTAATTTTAGTGAGGGACTAAAGTACTATAAACTCCAGTAACAAACCAGAAGCCCTCTTCAAACCACCACTTTGTCCATTTGATGGACTTTCTCTGCATACCTTTAATTTTACAGGAGAATTTCTTAATTGCAGTATATTTGTGGAGATGGAAAGCCTTCCACAGTGCCATCTTTCATACAAGACCTTAGTGCCAGTGCTTCATAGGTACTACTTACTAATTTTTGTAGGTTTGACGATAGCAGAATATCTTGAATGCTATACAAAAGAAAATGTTGTTTATGGGACTTGCCTTAAGATAGCTATTAACATAACCAAATATTGTCACCTGTATTGAATTCTTTCTTGTTGTATAGGTTATAATGGGGATTCTCTTCCCTCCCACCATCCTTTTCCTTGAGTTTCGGAGTTATGATGATTATTCTTACCAGACATCAAAAGAAAATGATGAAAGCAGAGAAAAGGAGGAGGAAAATGTGGTCAGTAATGGAAATTATTAAGAAGTTCTACTATCTCAGGAATGCTCAGTTTACTTACTTCTCTGATAATGCTATAGGTCACCCTGGTTAAAATCTCAATGGTCTTTGTAGGATGAAAATCTGAAGAGTTTTGGGAGGGTTTTGGCTGGATTCTCAGGATGTCTCAATTACCTGTGTAGCTGCTTAGATTTTGTATTTTTACATTTTTCAGAAGAGGAAACTGTTACTCAGAGGAAGCATTGTGCATTTCACAGTTCACTGGGGCTGTAGTTGAGGAAAAATTACTATTTTTACTATTATATTGATGAAAACTGACTACTTTGGTCTTCCAGGATGCAAATGTGGATACAGGCTCCCGGAAAGGAGATGAAGAGAATGGAAAGAAAAAGCAAAAGAGCCTTCCAATTGGAACAAAGATTTATGAATTCTATAATGCACCTATTGTCAAATTTTGGTTCTACACAGTAAGTCGTGATGATTAAACTGATAACTTTTTTTTTTTCCACACCTGTGAAACTTAAGGGATTTCAGTGTAAAAATAATAACCAAGTAATAAGTAAATAAATAGTACTGACTTTCATGGAATCTGATGAGTAAAGCATTACCTTTATTCAGAGAGAAAATGAATAGACATTGAAACAGAATTAATAACTGGCACTTATGCTGTCGGCCTCTAAAGCTACTACACACTTTGAAGGAGGCGATGTCTGGCTAATCACATGCCAAGCTCCACAGTCCAGTCACTCAATCCAAAGTAGGCTGGATTCTCTTGCTTTCTAAAGGCTCCAGCTCCTGTTCTGTGTTGAAATATACTTTAGCTTCCAAGAATTAATGTCATAGTATGAGTGCTAGCCATTTGTTTTGTTGACAGTTAGGCTCAGATGAGCACAACCTACATGGAAGCACAGATTCTAGTCTGCTAAGATTTAATAGGTACTTATATTTCGATAACTAAAACCAATCTAAACTAAAATACTTATTTTTGAAAGGCATCTGATTTTCTCTTCAGTGCGTCCGGAATTATCTGGTTCTAAACTCTGTTTTAATAAAACAGAAAATGTACTCATGCTACTACTCATAAGTTTGTGTGTACCCTGTAAAATGGATACCGGTTTCTTTTTTATTCAAAGTTAGGACTTCAGATAACCCAGTATGTCAGATTGCGATGTAGGTTTTCAGTTTTTGCACATCGTAATCACACAACACTATACTGACGCCTCTCTGCTGCTTGTATTAATAATTTAAAAGCAAAATTCTTACTTAATCTCAAAGAAAAGCATTCATCATGGTTTCACAGTGTAAAGAAATTACATTTTATTAGATTAAAAAAGTAGCTGGTGCAAAGGGCCTGATTTAGAGTCCTTTGGAATTGGTGGTTTGCTTCTTCCAGCAAATGAGGTCATTCAGCAGCCTGGATCATCTGTCCATTCCTTCCACTGCTGGAGGCCATGGCCTTTGCCAGTGGGCATGGCAGCTATGGGGAGGGCATTGCAGCAGGCCTGCTTCCTTCAGAGAAACTGATCAAGGAAGGGTCCTCAACAGCTGAATCTTTCATGAATAGCCTCAATGTGTGTGTTCATACATGCTCATGTGAATGTGAGAATTAGGGTGGGCTTCACTTTCATGCACTATGCAGGCTAAGAGGGTTTTAAATACCTTCTGTTTGATGTTTCTTCTCTGACACAGTGATGCAACCTTCTGTGCTCTTAGTGGATTAGGCTTCAGCAAGAAACTTGCTCCTGAGACTTCAGGCTACTTAAAGTAACCAAATTATCTGCAAACATACTGTTCATGCAGATGAGTTTAAGTAACAAGTATAGGATGAGGTGGTGTAGTGACTAGTCTTTGAAGTCTGTATGCTTCTGGCTTCAACTAAAGAGGACATTCGGCCTAGAGGGTCCCAATCGCATTATTAAAGGATGAAGAAAAGCAAGTGGCCCATGTGACACTTTATTTCCCCTACCCCTCCAGTCACGTGCTGCTCCCAGCCCTGCCTCTGTATTCTATTTTACATCTGTTGGTGGATGGTGGATAAAAAAATTCACATTGATTATCTCATTCTTTAGAAAACTCAATTTTCTCCCTGGAAAACCTTTTGGTTTATTACTGTCTTGTTTTCTTTTTTTTAATCCTGCAATCTGTTTTGGTTTCTTAACTCTAGAGTTCCAAGAATGAAGTTTTTAGTATGGCTGGTCATCAAAGACTGCTGTGAGGCATGGAGACACAAGCATCACCAGTCTGACATTCTCACCGTTACAGAGAACAGTGGTAGCTCTGTTGACTTATACTACTAGTCCAGAACTTCCTAATGGAAATTAGTGGAGCCTGATTTTGTGTGTGTGTGTCTAAGTCATCTCAAGTAATAGAATAATGCCTAACAGTGGAAGGATCCTGGGATCCATCACCTGAAGTCCATAAAGAATTTTATTCTTTTTTTGGTAGATATCATACCTCGGTTACTTGATGCTATTTAATTATATCATTTTGGTGCGGATGGAACGGTGGCCATCAATCCAGGAATGGATTGTCATCTCCTACATCGTGACATTGGCTTTAGAGAAAGTAAGAGAGGTAAAGTCTGATTATACCAACATCTCATAATCCTTAAAATGAAGCTCACTCTTAAAGGTAATAATAGCATGGACTTGTGCCAGAGTGTTGAGAAGCCATACATGACAGAGAAGATTCTAATAGCCACAGAGTCCCAAAATGCCCATCACTGGAGAGAGTTTCATTTATAACCCTTTTCCATACAATGGAAAATTATTCTTGGGCAAAAAAGTGAGGCAAAAATGCTCTGAGGTCAGTCATTCTCTTATGTGTCTTTCCAAGGAGGGCAGGGCCGTAACCCATGAAGGACATTCTCCGTAGGTACTGTCTTTTTATTACTGATGCAGCTCTTGGTGAGAACTACAGGCAGAGAGGTGTTTTGGGTATTAACCAGGAGTACTCTGAGACTGACCTCATAACTTTTGTATCAGGAAGACGACATAAAAACTTGTTCTGTGTTCACATGCTGTAGTGTGGTTTGCACTTAGTCTATCCTTCTCTGGTTCACAACTTCCCCATCTCATACTAACTGCATTTGGAGATAAATATGGATGCCAAGTCAGTAAGCCAGTTCTCCTGGTTTAAATGCTATTGATCAAAACCTACAAGAAAAAAAGCTTAATAAAGCCGAAATAGAAATAGAGATGAAAGGGGGGGTCTAAGAGGAGGGCCACGAAGATAATCGGAGGGCTGGAACAGCTCTTCTGTGAAGAAAGACTGAGAGAGTTGAGGTTGTTCAATCTGAAGAAGAGAAAGCTCTAGGGAGAGCATACTGAAGCCTTTCAATAAGGGCTTATAAGAAAGAGAGAGGCTTTTTACCAAGCCCTGTCAGGACAACATCTGTTTTAAGCTGAAAGAAGAAAGGTTTTGATTGGACATAAGGAAGAAATTTTTTACTATGAGGATGGTGAGACACTGGCACAGGGTGCCCAGAGAAGCTGCGGCTGCCCCATCCCTGGCAGTGTTCAAGGCCAGGTTGGATGGGGCAACCTGGTCTAGTGGAAGGTGTCCCTGCCTGTGGCAGGGGGTTGGAACTGGATGGGCTTTGTAGGTTCCTTCCAACACAAACTAGTCTATGTTTCTGTGAAAAGGAAATTCTGCCTGCCGGTGGCTAAAAATATTGCTGCTTGAGACAAATTTTGCTGGCAGTAGAGGGGGTCTCGGACACCTATTGAATGCGACAAAGTTGATCTTCTCTCATGACCATTGCTTCAAAAAGGTAACTTAGTGTTTTTCCTAATGATTTCTTTGTTGTTTATTTTTTATTTCAGATTCTGATGTCAGAGCCTGGCAAGCTGAGCCAAAAAGTGAAAGTTTGGCTCCAGGAATACTGGAATATTACTGACTTGGTGGCTATTTCAGTATTTATGATAGGAGCAATCCTTCGCCTGCAGAACCAGCCTTACATGGGTTATGGAAGAGTGATTTACTGTGTAGATATCATATTCTGGTACATTAGAGTACTGGATATCTTTGGTGTGAACAAATACCTGGGACCTTACGTCATGATGATTGGAAAAATGGTTAGTGCCTATAGTGCTGTAAATTGTGTATTTCAGAACTTCATGGGAAACTAAATTCAGTTCTGTTTAAAAAAGAGGGTTTCCATCTGAGTAGGGCTCTGAATAAAAGCTATGACAAGGTTGCCATGTGAATTTCACACACACGAGATGCTACTGTTAATACTCCTGCTAATAATAGCTTCATTTGAGAGGGATTCTTTTTTCTGTGTTTTTTGGTTTGTTTGTTGGTGGTTTTTTTGAACCAGCCTTTGGAAACCTTTTCACTTTGCCTGCCTCCTGTCTCCCAAAGCCATATAGCAATAACAGGTGGCTGATACACTGGGATCTTTCACAAAACCATCAGTTGTGGACAGGAGATGATACAGCAATGATAATGTCACCTCTTTGCAACCACAGAAGAGGGCTGTACTGAAAGTACAGCCTCACACACTCGATACAAAACAGCGTAGGGATAGCAAAGGCTTTAGCATTAAGTCTTTGTAAACATATATCTAGTATTTCTTTAAATGAGTGTTTTAGCTGCGTTTTTACATGTGCTCAATTCATGAGCAGTAGTTAAAGAGTAATGCCAAGAAAATTATCCAGGGAAAGTTGTTTGTTCTCTTCATACTTTCTTGTTTACTTTAATGCCTGCTGGCAGACTGGTATGCTGGTGCTGCTGTACTACCTGGTGACAATACCTGTATGGTCTCTCCGGGCAGATGATCGACATGCTCTACTTTGTGGTCATCATGCTTGTGGTTCTGATGAGTTTTGGAGTAGCCCGACAAGCTATCCTGCACCCAGATGAAGAGCCATCTTGGAGACTAGCTCGCAATATCTTCTATATGCCCTACTGGATGATCTATGGAGAGGTGTTCGCAGACCAGATAGACCGTAAGAGTAGAATTCATAGTAAGAGTCTGTTTCCTGTTTCTGAGGCAGATGATCAGATCCAAATTAACGGTTGGTTTTAATTTGGAAGTACTGTTTTGTTGTTGTTGTTTTCTTGTGGCAGACTCCATAGACTGAACAATTTTCTGTTCCCCACCTGCATGCCCTCTCTCAGTTTAGATTTAAATTCAGTTAACACTGAGAGTGATATATTCTGGAATACTCTACTGTCCATGAGTGTTCTGTTTACTTGCAGGGATCATCAGAGATCATTCTGAAACATTCTTTTGAATCAGTGTTTTACTGATAGGTCCAAAAAACAAAAAGACCAAATACCTTGGCCAGGAGATGAAAATACACACACCCTGTCATCTCCAACCCATGCACAGGCAACGAGCTAATACATTTTTACTCCCATTGATACATCTGTCTATTTTCCAGAAATGTTTCCATTTCATGAATCACTCATGTTCTTTTTTTCTACAGCTGTAGAAAACAGAAAAGGAAAACTCTGCCTGATTAGCTTTGGGTGTGGAAGTAACCTTCCTTCTATAAAAGCTGCACAGTTTAAACAGTAACTGTCAGTATTTTAGAGAAGATGGAAACTGTCACGTTACTGCTAGTTTTGTGTTAATATCTGAAATTTGGACTGTCAAACATGCAGCTGGCCTCCTATAGTGTGTATCACATAGTCTGCACTTTATTTGAAATAATACAAGCTGTTCCTTCAGCTTTGTGTATGTTATTTCGACCATCTGCAAATATTGCTAAGTAGTAGAGTGGAACGCTGAAGAAACTTACATCTAAGTTCAAAACCTGTAAAAATCCATGAGCATGAAAAACCTTAGTACCGAATGTAATTCAAGTGTACTTTAATTGCTTAGAAAGGAATAAAATATGTCATTAGTCTGTTTCTGAACAGCATACACTTGAAAAGATCACATCATCTTTGTTTTCCTTATGAATGCTTGTCTCATTAATGTAACTTACAATGCAGTAAATTACTCCTGACAAATGAAAGGTTAGACAAGTATTATCTGATACTGCAGTTTGAGTGCCCATGATAAGCCAGGATAAGCTCAGCATCTCTCAAGTGGGTTAATTCTCCCGGGGCAAGGAATGGACTGTAACAGGGTATCCCTTACCATTGTGGCTCATAATGTGCATTCGATCCCATTTCACTTCAAACAATGTAGATAGTTTGATTTCTTCATAAAACAAAACTCACACCTTGCCAACAATACTGATCTCTTTAAGTGGTGTGCCAGATGTCTGATGCTTCCGGTTGTTTCTCAGTTACATACTCTGCATTCCTTGAGCTAAAAGTCTTTCTTCAGCAGTGTGAAAGATTTAGGGGCAAAGTTCAGGCTTTGCAGTAACACAAATTCAGTCTAGCTATACTTGTTCCACTGACCTTCCCATGTTGGAAGCTTCACTGTATCAGTAGCTTAAACATAAGCTAACTTGGAAATGTGTGGTTTTGTTGTTTTCTTGTTGTTTTGATATTGAAATAGAAATGGCTGTGCAAGGAGTTCTGTTGGTAGTACTAGACTGCATTACAGTTATTCTGTACATTTCTTATATCTAGAAGTCTATGGAATGACTTCTGAAGTTCTCTTTGCTTTCAATCAGAAATTTTTACTCTGACCTTTCCGTGGTTCTCTGTAAACACCACAAAAGCAGCCTCAGAAGTCACTGGGGAATGATTGCATGGGCAGTCTAACCTGACTCTGTGGCAAGTGCTTATGGATAGTATTGCCAAGGCCCACAAGTGTAAACAATTTATGGCAAAGTATTACATGAAGTTTTCCATCTGAAAGAAGGTAGTTGGACTTCTGTCCATAGCTTCATTGAGGATAAGATGTCACCTAAAGATGAAGATCACAAATCAGAGAATTGCTGAGGTTGGAAGGCACCTTTGGAGATGATCTAGTCAAACTTCCCTGCTCAAAACAGGGTAAAATAGCAGGTTGCTCAGGGAGTGTCCTGTCAGGTGTTTCATATCTTGAAGGATGAAGACTGTGCAGCCTCTCTGGAGAACCTGATGTAAATGGAATTTTCCATATTTCTGTCTTTGCCCACTGCCTCTTCTCCTTTCACTGGATACCACTGAGAAAAGTCTGGCTCTGTCTTCTTTACTCCCACATACCCATCAGGTGTTTATAACATTGGCAAGATCTCCCTTGAACCTTCTCTTTTCCAGGCTAAATTGTCCCTGCATTCTCAGCCTTGCCTCATTTGTCAAATGCTCCAATCAGCTAAATCTTTGTGGCCCTTTACTGGAGTCTATCCAGTATGTCCATGTGTGATTTCTATGGAGAACTACAGAGCCCAGAAATAGACATACAAGTCCAGATATGGTTTCACCAGAGCTGAGTAGAGGTGACAAATTACCTCCCTTAACTTGCTGGTAATACTTTTCATAATGCAACCCAGGATGGTCTTAGCTGGTTCACTCCGTTTAGATGCCCATGAGCAAAAAGTTTGTGGCACCTGGTACTCAACAGCAACATATTCTTAACACTAGAGAAGCCTGAGTTTCCTTCAGTAGCGCGATTTTTGTTACAGCCACCATTTAGGGGTTGGCAAGCAAGTATTTGTGCCAGTAGTCACAGTTCACTGCACTACCCTTATTGTGACTATTAATGGGAACACAGTTACTCAGCAGCTGGCAGATCCAAAGCTAGGGTGGTTCTTAAAAAGGAGAAAATGTTTCCATAATAGCTAAAAGAATGGTTTTGTGTGATAGCTTCAAGTTGGTTTGTGTTTGTGGCGGCTGCCAGTTTTGTTTGCTTGCCTAAAATATTGTGTATATTTAAATGATCATCTGCCAGAAGCATTTTGTGATTTATTTTTAATATGAACTCACTGCCATATGTAACACTTGGGGAAAACAATGTGAAAAGGAAATTGCAGAATGCAGTGCGTTTTTAACCAAGACATTGTTTCTAAGCATGTCTCTAATGTTCTGACTCTTGAATTGCTTATCTTTGCATTGTGGCGAAACTGTATTTGCAATCATCTTTTTTTGTTTGTTTTTTTTTTCTATATTATCCTATTTTCTTTCTTTCTCTCCCTGCCTCCGCTTCTATTTCATTCCCTTGGAATACTTTTCAGTCTATGCCATGGAAATTAATCGTAAGTCTCTGTGCAAAGCCAATCATCTCATTTAGCTGAATATATTCGTTAATCTTCACTAGATACTGACATTTTAATTATAGGGCTTATCCAATATTCAGGCGTGAATCTTGGTTTTGTACTTTAATAGTTTCATTTGAAAAGAAGCAGAGCAAAAATATTTTAATCCAGATTGCAGTTCTGTGGTTGCTGTCTTGTTTCTAGTTCATTGACAGTTCTCTTAAATTCTGATGTACAAGTGTCATACAATTAATACAATTGTACAAATACAAAAATTAATACAATTAATTCCCTTTGATTACCTAGACACAGTGTCAGTGTTCTTTGGCAGTACTTTCATTAATTCACTTGCCTTTCCTGTTACACTTAGGCTAAGCAGGAAAAATGTAAGTTTGATGATTCACAAACAAGTAAAATCTGTTTTATTAATTACAGTCTGTAATGAACTCATTGTCAGGCTTAGTATTTCCTAAGATTTCTGCTAAAGAACATGTGGTTGATATACACTTCACCTACTAAGTGGTTCCAAAAGATGGCCTTGTATCTGAAATCAGACATGCTGGCACTGCACTTAGAACAAGCTGGCTGCATTCACCCACCTCAAGGACAGTTCTCACCCCAGAACCACCTTTATCCTCCGGATTACTTCAGGCAATTGTTTTCTCTCAGTTTGATCAATAGTCTCAATTTTTGTATCATTCTCATCATTCTGTTTTGCTGTCACTGTATTATTTTCATTTTATATTTTTATCTCTTTGGTTTAAAATTTGATGTAAAATTTAGAATTATTGTGAAAAATAAGGGAAATGGAAATTGTCCCTGAAGTGGCAGCAGGGTCACCCATGGGTGACTTCATAGCCCTGCATAAGACAAATGCCAGTGTGGGGCCCATTGAGGGAGTCCAGGAAGGGGCAAAAGAAGTCAGGACCCAGCACAAGAAGGGTCCATCCAGGGGACAAGCACAGGTCCCAGGTCCACCCAGGAGGCAGGGACCCAGGTACAGACCCAGGTGAAGCTGGGCCAGGACTGTTAAGGCCTTGTTAGTACACTCAGGGCCCCACTAAAAGTTTAATTTATGCTCAGCAATCTGGGATCACTGAGTGGATCTCTTTATATGTTTGGCAGGGTATGCACACAAGTTTGGATGAGAATTCTTTTTTAATTCCACTATTAATGTGCACATATGCACATTAAGATCTTGTCCTAGACTGTTATTTGTGAGAAAAAGAAAATCCATCTAAATCTGAAGAGAGAGCCACACCATACAGTGAACTTGGAGCTGTCTCTCTGTTCACTATTATGGGAAATTATTTTTGTATGCTGTAGTTAGAAGCAGAATTTGAAGTAGATATTACACATACTTGCTACTGGAAATAAACTGACAACATTTGTTTACCTTGGCAAATTTTATGCTTGTGTCATCATTAAATAAATGTGAATGTTTTCTGTAAGTATCAGGCAACTTGTGAAAAATAACCTTTCCTATTTTTTCTTCAGCTCCCTGTGGGGACAATCTTTATGATGATGATGGTAAACGCCTCCCTCCATGTATACCGGGAGCCTGGCTCACTCCTGCTATTATGGCCTGTTACCTCTTGGTAGCAAATATCCTGTTGGTAAACCTGCTGATTGCTGTCTTCAAGTATGTAAATAATCATGCATTATCTTTAGTTTCCTAATGTGAGAGAGTTTCTGTGAGAGCCTGTTAACTGGTTTTGCAAGGCTTTGCATTTGCACTCAGAATCTAATGACTCTATGAACGTGACTGGCAAATACTTGGCATGGTGTATACACTGGGAAGGAGTGGAGGGAAGGTTGCTTTGAATTTGCCAGCAATTGCAGTAATGCATGTGAGAGAATCTGGCTGTTTCCAGTCACTGTTTAGTGGCTAGTGACAGGCCTCAAGATTGTTCTGCAAAGGTCAGAAACAGAATCCATGAAATCTACATACATAGGGAAGCCCATGTAGGCACTAGGAAACATGATTCAGTGATAGGATGAAATCTGAACATCCAAAGCAGGAGCCATTTCCTCTATCACTTCATCATCTGGAATAAAAATAAAATAATAAAAAAAAGAGACTCGAGATACCTACTTGTAAGACTTTCTGAACAGTCCATCTGAGGCAAGTCGTTGATCCATAAATACATAGTGTTGGAGGGCTTTTTGGCATAGGTAGCTGGTGTCACAACCGCAAAAATAGTTCATTTTGTGCCCAGAAATCTACAGTTCACAAAACCTGTCTTTCATTTGATGTATGTAGCTTTAAAGGTCATGAATTTTCAAGTGCTTAAATGCCAGTCACATTGCTAGGGAGAAGGGGAGGAATCTTACAGTGGTAGCTATTATTGACTGAAGGACCAAGGACTCAGCAGTGCGGGAGGTAGGTCATGCTGTTAACTCCTGCCATCCCACCATGACTGCAACGGGGTGAGACCTAGCTGGGGAATTCCTGCTATGCATAAGACAGAGAATGAAGGCAGATTGCCATTTAGTATTGGTAAATATAATCTTATGTACGCTTAGCCAAAAGAAACAAAAAACTATGTGTACTCAAGAATTCTCTGGTTTCAAAGAGGTACTTTAGCTGGTTTTGTGAATGTAGATAATCTAGAGCACAGAAAGTTAGAAAAGAAGTGGACAGAAAATGTAAAAAAGGAAGTACCAGTATCATCAAAATTATCAGAGAAGTTAAGTGAGCTGTCTGAGCATACTTTAAAATAGTTCAAAAAGTTTTGTCTAAGTCTGCTTTCTCTTAGTATTCCATAACCATGGCTGTTGTTATCTCTGAATTGAATATTGTCACTTATACTTCTTCATATCCATTGAATTACAAACTGAAACAGCTTTGCCACACCTTATTTTGGTGTAGAAATGATGAGGCCATGGCTTCCAAGAACAAATTCCTTTACAAGAATATGCACCATGTTTTCAAGTCAGAGGTGTGAGTGAATAAAGTTTGAAATTAAGACATTTTGTGAAAACTTGAAATTTTCTATGTAGGTCAAGCTGATCAGCATTTTAAAGGCAAACTGTGTGAAGCTTCTGGGTTTAGCATACAAAATACCTTTCACAGATTTAATACTTTGTAATATCAAAGACTGGTATGTGTCAACCAAACCCCAAAATAACAATTATGTGATTGATATATTGTGCAAGTTTCTTTTCACTAACACCTAAAGGACTTTGTACAGTAGAAGCAAATAGTCTTAAGAGGTGGACTATTCTGGGTGGTGCGTAAGGGGTGCAGAGCACTTACGAGTACTGAAATCGTGACTTCTAGCTAATCATGACTTCAGCAAGTTCAGCAGCATCAACAGAGAGCTGAACCAAAGAAAGTCATGTCCCCTTATGTTGTTATTTAGCTGCTGCTTTTTTCAACATAATACTTGCTCGGTGCTAAGTAAACTTAGGAGCCTAATAGAAGCTTTGTTCCTTTTCAGCAATACCTTCTTTGAGGTAAAATCAATATCTAACCAAGTGTGGAAGTTCCAGCGGTACCAGCTGATCATGACATTCCATGACAGACCTGTCCTCCCACCACCAATGATTATCTTCAGCCATATCTACATAATCATCAAGCGAATCTGCTGTCGCTGCAGGAAGGGTGAAGGAGACCAGGATGAGCGTGACAGGGGACTGAGTATGCATGAAACCACTGTGTTGAGCAATTTCCATTGTATTAGCAGAAAGCAGCAGCTTTTCCAATGCTGAATGGTCAAGAGTATTTGCAGAAGACAGTATGAGAAAAATTTGTATCACATTCACAGCTCTTAAGCTTTGAGGGCTCTTGAGAGTACACAGTGTTGTGCTGCTGCTGCTGACTTTCTTTAACATGTTTCCTTAAAACAGTGAGATGGCATCTACTTAATGCAGTCTTACCAGGTTCTAGTGAAGTTCTTATGTTGGGAGGGGCATACAGGAAATTGAGAAGAAGGGATCACAGTTTTAAATGTCATCTGTGATTGTGATCAACCCGTGTCTAAGAGTATCCCTGCTTCCATTTCTCCATGTTAGAGATTTATCTGGCATCTCACAGGCCAACAACGAGGATGTCTTCTAACATACTCTCTAATTGTTCATTATTATGTTCATTATATGCCTCGCTAAAATAGTCAGATGCTCACAATTATCCCTGTATTTGTACATTTCAAAGGAACATTGCTGCACAATATGATTGAACTAAAAAAGGGAAAAAAGTAAATGTAACACTCCAAATACAGAGACAAATTCCAAGGATGAAATGTTCCTAAGAGCAAACCATTTCCCTTTGGTTTTCCTTACATGATTATAATTTTTTGAAGCTCTTATCCAAAGAATGTCTGGGAAACAATGTTATATTATCTGCTGCCTGTAACTGGCATCATTTTAAGAACAATATTTGAATGAAGGAACAGTCAAACTGGCAGAGATTGCCCTAGTCTTTATAAAGTAAAATCTAGTCAGGTTGTTCAACGTGTAGCACAGCTGTTAGAAAGTGCAAAGGCCATTGAGAAAATACATGTCTTAAAAGCAGTGATGGTCATAATGCATTACGTTGTCTCCATGACTGCGGCCTTCTTTGGCTAAGTGCTAATTCCCTGTTTACAAAATCACCTGTTCCTTTAGTGCAGGAATAGAATCTGCAGTATCTCTATGTCCAAGATAATCTGCTAAATTGGATTTAAATTGACTGCCAGAAGTTCAGAAAAAGAAAACTCGTATTTTGTTCTTCTGTTTTGCGCAGAGTTATTTCTGAATGATGAAGAGCTAAAAAAGCTGTATGAGTTTGAAGAGCAGTGTGTAGAAGAATACTTCCAGGAAAAGGAGGATGAGCAGCAGTCATCTAATGATGAACGCATTAGAGTTACTTCTGAAAGGTACCAATTACAAGAAAAAAGCCACACCACTTAACTGGAACAGTAGTGGGGTTTTTGTCTTCATTATAACCAAAATTGAGGTAAAATACAAAAGATTTAGATCTTGAAGAAAACCACCACCAGTTCAGAAGCTGATCTGAATCCTGAGCAAATACTTGTGAAGGTACATCTCTCACGAGAGCAAGCTTTGTGTGGTTCCTGCTGGTATGACACTAAGTCACTAAGGCTGCTGGTTTGGGTAGCTTTGGTATTAGAGCGTTTTTATTCCTGGTAAATTTTTGACCTCTCACTCATCTGCCTACTGGATTTATGCTTTTTATCTGTTTGAGCAAATTATGATTTGCTGAGCTTCCAGCAGCTCATCCAACCATGAGAAACATGTTAGGGCTTAATGACAAAAGCACTGAGGATTCTTCCCTTGGACCTATGGTTTACATTAGGGTCTAGCACTCACGGTTGCTGAATTTTACTGCTGAATTTTACTGTCTGCCACAGATTCTCTTGGAAACTTTGAACAAAGCATTTAGCTTTTCAGTCTGAACTTTCCCATTTAAAATGCAGAATATTCACATGTAAATCATTAAGCTGTTCTGAGGACTAGGTAATGTTTGCCTATTGTTGTGTATGCACACAGTGATAATGGTAGCAGCAGTTTTTTAGCAGGTCACATGGCAGGACTGTTCCCAAAGCTCTGCCTATTCTGTTAGTAGTTCTCAGTCAAAAGATAGGGTCTTTAGTCACTTCTTTGAAATAATGAAAAATTCTCCCTGTGATGAAAATGATTCCTAGTTTAAATACTTCCACCTTAATTTAGCTTGTGGTATTCTGATGATGAACTACTCCATATCAATTTCTCTACCTTCCTTCAGTATTTCTTATGAAGAATATTCTTATGAAGAATATTATTATTTCTACCTACCTTCCTTTCAATATTTCTTATGAAGTAGCTCTGTGACCCATATAATTCTTTAATAGATAAACATCTTTCTCTTGAAGGGAGGCCCTGATCTTTTTGCATTATTATATGTGAAATTTGAGAAGAGAGAAGTAAATGAAATATGCTACGTTTATTTGAGTAGTTTCTATTGCACTATTTATCCATGGCAATTTGTCAAAATCCTAGGTATTGTGGCGGAGAATAAAGCAGGGCTGGTAAGCCTCACTGATTCACTATGGTCTATGGGCACAAAGTAGATTTGCTTATTTCTCACAGCTTCTTGCTCCAGATACTTTGTCATCTTTTGTGTGTGAGAGAGAAAGAATTTTAATTTCATTCCCACAGTTGCTTTACTAATGTATGATCTCTAAGTCACATTCTAATGCATTACTTTTATATACATTCTTCTGGTACCATCACTTTCATTATGATATAAATGATAAAAGAAAATGGGGAAAAGTATTATTTTAATTGAACTAGACAGTAATTCCACTCCATTCTGCTGATAGATAATTGAAAGGTATTTCAGGAGCTAAAGTAATTCCATACACCAGCATATGTTCCCTCTCACACAGTTACAAAATCTGTTTTACAACATGCCTTGATGCTATTTTAAGTCATCTTGTGAGCATGTCATTAGAAAGTATTTTTCATATCATAAATCAATGCTTCACAGTGAAAGAGGACAACTAAACATTAAGTGGGTGGCAAATGGAAATGTTAGTAGTAGGCTGTCCCTAACGGCTGCAACTTTTATACTCTTACAGCATGTAAATAAGGGCAAAGTTCAACTAGCCCTCTGACATGGTGTATAGGTAACAAGAAAATGCACATGTATGCTACACATAGGAAAAAAGAGTGGTACATGGTACACAGCACAAAATTCTGCCTTACAAAGAAATCAGTAGCTGGGTACCTGTGAAAGGTTACTGTACCGTTCCACAGCTTCTGTTCTGTGCTTCCTCTTTTATACCCAACAGAGTTGAAAATATGTCTATGAGGCTAGAAGAAGTGAATGAAAGAGAACACTTTATGAAAGCTTCTCTTCAAACAGTTGACCTTCGACTCTCTCAGCTGGAAGAACTGTCTGGTCGGATGGTGAATGCTCTTGAGAAGCTGGCAGGTATTGACAAAACTGAGCTCACATATACACGTTCACGGGCTTCGTCTGAGTGTGATGCTGCCTACCTCCTACGGCAAAGCAGTGTTAACAGCTCTGATGGCTACAGCATGTACAGATACCATGTCGGAGGTGATGAGCTAGCGTATGATGAGAGTACCACTCCTATGTCGCCAGCTATGGGATTGCGTAAAAAAGCCCATTCTGTTGGTACCAGAGAAGATGGAGCAGACCCAAGGATGCTGGCTCCAGAACACCACACCAGTCTCCATTGTACCTCTAGTGCTAATGCAGTCACTACAGCAGATTACAGTAAATCTACATTAGAAATTGCACAGAATGTTTCCAGACTCCATTCTGGTTCAGGTGGTTCTGAGGATGAAAAGCAGGGGATTTTCAGGAGTGATGGAATGGTTCCTCGAAGTATAAACCGGATGGATGCTGTAACAGACAGACAGTCAGAACCAAGATCAAATTTTCAGAACACTAAGTTAAAACTAGAACGTACCAAGTTAGAAGCAACCATCTCTTATCCCTTGGACAAATCTAAAGCAATGTGCTATTTTCCTCCTGAAACATTCAGTGCTTGTCAAACCACTATGATGAAGTCAAGGAGCTTTATATTTGCACAAGGTGGGAAGCTGGTTGGAGGAGTTAACAACTGGACCACAGAATACAGTACCATTATGGATCAGGTGTGCCCTTCTACAATTGAACAGTGGTCTACAGAGTGGAAATATGAAGTTGAGCAGCAGCTTTCTCAGGAGCCTCCTCCAGAATACCCTGGCTTTATCTCTGAAGCAGAAATGCAAGCAGAGCAGAAACAGTTACAGACGGACACAGACGATGATGACACTGTTGGTGAGGCAGATGTGAGTGCCTCTTGCGCCTCTATGCCTGTCACTGACAAGGGTGAGAAAGAGAATTTACTATCAGTAAAGCCAGAAAGGACTTGTGGGTTCCCCTCAGTACGGTCAAAGAGTTTGCACAGCCATTCTCGGAAAGGCAAGTCTGTAAAGGACAAATTAAATAGACCAGGACATGCCAGCAGCGTAACTAATCTGGTGGTAGCATTTGGCAGTGCAACAGAAGAACAGAAAGCTAGGCAAGAAAATGCATCAACAGAAACTGAATGTTAAAATGGCTTATGGCCCCTGTTTCACCGACAGTCAACAAAGCAGCATGACTAATTGAACAAATTACGGATTTTAAAATTAATTTCTAAAGAAGAATTTTGTATGTATTTGTTTCTTTTCATTTTAAAACTGAAGTATGTGCTCTGTTCTTAAACCAATGCGTGGTGGGTCAGGAGAAAGGGAGATGTTCTCTCAGGAGCAGAGAAAAAGTAGGCATAGACCACAGATGCCAACAGTATAGATCAATCTTTGTTCCATTTCAGCCTCCCTCATAAGCTCATTTACTGAAAAGCTCTTTATAAAAGCTCTTGGAAGAAGGACAATATTATTATGTAATAATTTAGAAAATGTTTTTTCTTCTTTTTTATCAGAAGACTTCTTAAACTGAACAAATTTTTAACCAGTCTTGGTTTTTATCCTCCCTTATGCAGCTGGTTTCTTTGTAGCCATTGTATTTTTCAGATCAAAACAAAATTGTTGGAGGCAAGATAAAATTATGCAGTCCCCTCTTTCATTAATGATTTCATGCATGCTTCTTGGTTCCTTTTTTTGAGAAAAGCCCAACATAGCAGTTTGCATCCACTAAAACAGGCAAAATTATGTTTGGAGAAACCTGACCTGGAAAGCCATGTGCAGATATATTCTTGATCTGTCCTTAAACTTTAGCGGTATCATCTTGCTTTCAGGATCACATCTGTCCCCACCCCAAAGCATGCTGACAGCCTTAAACTGTTGAAAAATGGTGATCATTGTTTCAAAGTTTTTAGGGAGATTTTAAGTATATGAAGTATACAGAGATTTTAATAATATGAATCCAAGATCTGCATTAATGTTTTGTATAAATGGGGTTACAATAGAAGTCCATGTAGGGTGAGAATCTGGCTTTTTTTAAATGCCTGCAAGGGAAACCATACTAAACCAGGAAAGGTGTTCTGATGAGGAGAGATCAAAATGCAGCCAGTCTATGTGTTTGAAGCAAATCTACTGTGACAAATTCATCTTTGATTTTGCAATTCCATTATGATGACACATAAGGAACAAGGAACAGTTTCTAGCAGTCAGCCTAAATAACAAATGAATTTTCCAGAAGAGAATAGAAATTCCATACATTTACTTGAGTAAATTTCACCAACAATTGTCAGAGGGAAAAAAAAAGTCTCTGCAGTGAAGGTGTTTTCTGTCCCTCAGTGACTAAGCCTGGAAATCCACATCTATAGTTAGTTTCCCAGCACACGTCTCAACAGTGGCTTTCTAAGTAATAGGTTTTGATAGTTTTCTTCATAATAAAGTGATGTTATTTGCCTCATTCTTCTCTGTCTACCTTTTAGGAATTCTGTTTTCCTAAACATTCAGCACCTCTCTGTGCCAGGGGATGCATACCGTTGAACAGACAAGAAAGAAAGTTAAAGGCATATTACTTGTGCACAGAATACTGGTTAGAAGTTTATGCTTAACTCGTTAACTGTCAGGACTTACAAGATTTTGAAAAGACAGGATTTCTTTTTTCCCCATCATCAGCTCCACAGTATGTAGGTCTCAGTATCCCCCTTGATAATGCTGATTACAGCATTTTGAAATGCAGAGATTAATGGAAGACACCACAAATGCATCGATGGCATCAGCTTTTTGTTGTTTGTATTATATTTTCACACTCTGTCCATACTGATACCTTCAAGTACTGTTACCATACTGAATGATCACAGTAACTGCATAGACATTTCTGAAAGTTCCGTTGTTGTGTACTACAGATTTTTGCTAGCTTGGTCTTATTAGCTGGTTTCCTGGTTTCACTGTTGTCAGAACAGTGCTGACATTGTGCTTTTCACACCGACCTCTCTTTTATTCAACTTTAGGGAACTTGACATTTTGTAAAAACAGAATGACATTTGAAATTGTTTCACTTCCATGTTTACTTCTGTGTTACCATTCTATGCAACTACATAGCCATTTTGTATGTGTGGTTAAAATAGCCTCCAGTTTGCCAATGCCTTTTTATCGTTTGCCTGCACACTCACCAGAAACTGATTCATTAACAAGCACAAAGGGATGCAGCTTTTCAGCACTTTGCTAAACAAGCAGTATACATTGTGGAATGAAATACAGTGTGTTGCATACCTCTTGTTACATTGTCTTTATAAATCATGTGTTAAACTATGCTCTGACCAGTTATTTTTTTAGTATTTACATTACAGATTTATCAGATAGCACATAGATCTCAAGCAAAACCAGTTTACCTTTGTATTTATTTACTTCCTTTGTGTAAAAATACTTATAAACACAGGAGAAATATGTGAAATGCATTCAGTACAAATTCTCCACTATAGCAATATCAACACACTTATCTGTTTCATCTTAAGCAGTGCATGGGCTGAATATTTTCTAAGCAAAGTTTCTTTTTTAACATTTGCCAGTAATTTCCATGAAGTTCTTTATACAGTGGTGACTTCAAAGGGCATGGATGTTTTCTGTGTTCTTGCATAGCATGAACTGAAATGATAACCTCTCTGCCATTAAATGTGAAGTAACTACACTGACTTTGGCAGTTATTTTAGACATACAGCCATTTTAATAATATTTAAATATGGCTCTGTATGTGCACAGAAGATAGATTTGGAGCATATTTGCATGTCTGCTTACACACTTTCTTGAATACTGACTGAAAGGATGCAAGCACAGAATTTGCATTTCTGAAGAGGCATGTTTAATACTGCCTTTCAGGAAGATGCATCCCTCCTACTGCTTACTATGTGGTGACTCCACAGCAGTGTCACTGGGAATTCCACTTACCATTATTTATTATGTGCTTGACCTATACTGGAGCAGGTCAAGCCTACAGAGTCTGTACTCTAAGGCTGTGTCTGCACAGAGGCATTGCACTGGGGTAATTCAAGTTTGTTCACTTTACAGTGTCTTTTGCAATACAGATATTTCCCGCTCCCTCAAGGGAAATGTTTTAAACATACATATTCCACCTAATTGTAATATTCAGTAGGCAGGTTTTTAACTATACCAGCTGATTGCATGAGTTACACTTTTTTTATGTTGCATTATTCTGGAACTAGCCTGACATTGCTCTTACAAGCCTTTGCTATTGCATAATCATTCTTTCCATTTTAGACATTGGCTTTTGATACTTGAGAACCAAGAAAGTACATTTTCCATATTATTAATGACTTAAAGTAGCCATTGAAACCTTCCAAGTATGGTTTCTCCATACTGCTTCTTTGGGTGCTTTCCGAGGTTCTGGGCTTGGCTATCATCTTTGGCAAAATGTCTATCTGTCCTTCTAAATAAAAAATTAAAATAACACAAATATCTGAAAGGCCTGCAGAAAACAGAATCATGAGCAAGGTGCATGACCAAGGATTATTTCATTAAACCTGCAATATCCACGAGACTGTTCCATTAGGGGAGTTGTGGGTCGTGAACCCACTGAAACAAAGCGAGTTTGCAGCTGAGCACTAGCTATGGAGGAGGTAAGTTTTCACGGTGTCAGCAGCACATGGACACATTGCTGGGGTCCCTTCTAGTAGTGCCATTGCCAGCACAGCACTTCTTTACCACTGTCCTTTCTAGTCACTTGTAGTTGAACTAATATTACACTTAAAAGCTTGTTATGAGCAAAAAGGAGACACATCTTGTATGTAAAATTCAGGAATTTATTGTTAGTGTAACATTTTAACAGTCTAACATATGAATTATTGTTAGTTTAGATCTAATTACAAGAGAGGAGAGACGAGAGGACACTACAGCTACACTGCTACAGGAAAAAAAAACAAATCCCAACAAGGTAAAATGAATCTATGCACACTTCCTACTATTTACCCCCTTTTTTTTAATGTTATGCTCACATTTGCACTGATACTCCGGGTCTAATGGTCAACGGCTGCAATGGGGGTAGTGAGGAAATTCTGCCAGCCATCAACATCCCAAATCCCTCACTAGGATGAGCATGATGTTGTTGTTTTCTTTTTCTTTATTTTTCTTTTCTTGGGGACATTTTTATGTTTGCTACCAACTTTCTATCTTGTTTTTCTTTATGGGCCTTCAAATCCTACAATTACACCTGAATTTCCTAGTCATTATAAAAACTGCTTTCACAGCTAAACAAAGGGACAGCTCAAGGCAGATTAAGGCAAGTTCAAACAAAGCAATCCTGACAAGCCTCAGCCCTGAGGTATCACAAAATCAGCATAAAGCCTGCTGCCTGTTACTGCTCTATTCTAGGCTACCTGACTACATTACCCCTACAGGTGTTTTCCTCTCACTACAGCCACATGCTCTGCTGTGTCACCTGAGCTGAGTATTTTAGCCTAATTGTGGATTTTGATCTCCCATTAGGATCCTGCATCAGACAGAAAGTCAAAACAGATTTAAGGACCTGGCTGATAATAGCCATTTAATGCCCATTTCAGCTGGTGGCAGGGTCTAGGGGGCTTATGTAGTTAAAAACCACTACACAGCAGGCTGACAAAGCATAAGCCTTGGGAGAAGTGAGACAAGAACTGCAGTTTTCCTTAAAACCCCAGTCTTATTTTGCTTTTTTCAACTTTTAGCCTTATCTGCAGAAACAAAGCGTGATATGGTAAAGTGGTGCTTTATGGTTGATGCCCTGTATCCTTACAATGGATGTAAGGTATGTCTTGATAATAGGCTTCAAATTATTCTTTGCAGTTGTTCAGCCAAAATATTAAGTGCCTGTACCCACCTTCCCCTTGGTGTTAATGGAAAAGGAGTTGTCTAATTTCCTCTGCCTGCTCTTCTTTTGTCTCTTCAACATTCAAATCCCTGTGAAGCCACAGTGTTTCATCCTGCATGATTGTAGATGCACGCATATCCCTTTTCTTGCACTAAGTGGACTGCTGTGCTCAGCAAGCTATTATCTGAGCAGGCCAATGGCCCTCAAAATGGTCATGAGAAAGTACTGGATTCTGGTTTAGGAGCACTGGTAGTCTAAAAGTCATTGTCAGAATACCTATGAAAATAGCCCAAGCTGAGGTGAAACACTGTACCAATGAATAGCTCCAAATAACTCTAAAGAAGTAATATCTACATATTGATTAACAAAAAAAGTACCTTTAGGCAACATCATTAAATTCCTACACAGCGAATATGACCTTCACTCCTTGAAAAGGAGGCTTTTTCTGACATACCGCAAAAAAACTAAAACCTTTGCATAGCTTTTGTAACTTCTTCAAATCTTTGGCCAAGACTATTGTAGTTGCTGTTTTATGTAAATAACCACATTTTAAATATTTCTGCTGTATTTTCATCAAGGACACTCAGGAAAGACATTTTTTTTTCCAACTACTTAATAAATATAAGGCATAATGTTTCTCTTCAATAAGAGGTAAACTGGCTTTCTCAGAAGTCCCACATTTCTGAGTGCAGTCTGAGGCAACTTGGGTGCGTGCGCAAACTATTGAGCGCACAAGCAGGGAGGTGTCCAGGTAAAGCTAAATGAACTGTAATGCCTTCAGTGAGAAACAACAGACTTTCATGGGTGAATCCCTGATTTGCAGACTTGCCACATACTTGATGTGCTCTGGGCACATAGCTGTGAAATCGGACATGAATGACTTTTGTGTGTTGGAGTTCAAACCATTAATTGAACTATTTTTCAGAAAGCTATGAAAACATATAGTTACCATAGAAATACGAGGCTGGAAGAGATCATCTACACTGAGGCACTTTTAGCTATGTTGATAGCATCAGTGACAGATGGTAGTCTAACCTGTTCTTGAACATGCCTAATGAAAGCTATTCTCTTATTTGCTGAGAGATCAAAAGGGATCATTATGAAAATGTGTTCTGATTTAACTCCAGTCCTCATGCCTTGCACAAGTCAGTCCTTCCCCAGCCACAGAGCTGTCTTCTGAGGTTATACCAGAACTCTTAGGAAGATACCTGATCTGACTGGCAGTCAGTATGGTAGGTTATGCGCCATGGCTCAGCAGATCATTATCTCCACTGTTACAATCTGCATTATGTGTAAAAAGAGGCCCCAGCATGTGTGGGGAGGTGATAGCAGCAGGAGAGCAGGCCAAGCAGGTTCTGGAGGGCCAGGCAGTGGACAGTGTAAGGATCCTGGTCAGTCTAGCACATGGGAGGTATCACTGAATAACTTGTCAACAACTTGTCAACTAATAAATGTCAAGGCAAGGAAAAAACTGCATTGAGTAAAAAGTTATATTTTTAAAATTAATGAGAATCAAAATAGACATCTGCAGTCTTTCCAATTCAGCTGCCTTCGTTGCAGGCTGTTCCCTTGTTGCTTCGTTCCCACTGTTCTTTCAAGACTTTTCATAGAACAAAGTCATTCTCAGAAACCTCTGCTTTAGCAGAACTGTTTGAAAACAGTGCACAAGTGAGGCGAGCCGGGGTGGCTGGAGATGGGCAGGAGGTTGGGTGCATTGCCAAAAAGGAGTCAGTGGATCCAAAGGATTTCCCTGCTCATCGTGCCGGCCCTACCACTCCCCACCCTTGGCCTCCTCTCCTGCCTGCTCTCTTCCCTTGTCTGCCCTGCCCTGCCCGCCTACCCTGCCCCACTTGCCTGCCCTGCCCTGCCTGTCTGTGCTGCTTGCTTGTATCCCACTGCAGGTTGTGACAGAATTCATTCGCTCCTCCAAAATATTTACGTCAATTCTGCATTCTCCTCCCACTGGCAGAAAACTCTTCCAGTGGCAACCTGTGGCCAGTTCCTTGTGATTTTATATTCACTGAGAGCTTAGTTTTGATAGTGTTCGTTCCCTTTCGGACAAGCACTGCAATTTATATGTGTCAGTGCAGTTCTTACTGGTAATTTGTGCTATCCTGTGCTCATTCCCTGAAGAGCGAAATTGGATTTACAGCCTCTACTCAGAAGGCTGTGTGCTGATGCAGAAACACTCCTGTATTCTGATCTAGTACAAGTAATTGACAGGTTTAATATCTCAGGCAAATTTGTTACCTGCAATTTCAAACCTAGCTGATCTGGGCAGTTTCTGCTTTCCTCGCCCCCTTGCCATCTCTTTCCCCTTTTCTGATTTTAATTTCCTTTCAGCAATGTCCTGAATATGAACAAAAAAAACTTTAATGATGAGGGCAAGTCCTGCACTATTTCTCACTTCTGAAACATTCATGGGATTTACCTTGTGAAAGGGCTGTCACCAGCA